TTAAATAGTTGAATAATCAGTCGTCCATTGTGAGATATTTCATCATATGAATGAAATTCAAATTTTTATTCAACGAGCGATGGTTATTCATCTTTCAGTCGTTGCTCGAAACTTTTATCAAATTATAATGAAAATTTCGCCCATCTCTGTCACTCAAAGATCCCATTGAAATCTCTTAGGCCAAAAAGCTCAAAAAATAATGGATCAGGAATCATAGCGGTGCGAGTACAAAAGAAAATATGAAAGATTAAGTTAGACCGTGGTTTAACACGCCCCAAAAAAGGTACGCGAACTCATGGTGTGTCTCAATCTTGTATTTTTATTTTTCTACCTAGACCACTACGATTGTCCCCAAATGGTTAATCCCATTCCAGTCCCCGAAATCATTTTGCTCTTCGTGGGTTGGATGTCTCTTCTGCTGTCGAGGTAACTGAAATCTGACCGGTGATTAATCGCGTGCCACGCGAAATGGCATTATAAAGTGTATATTACCAAGAGTAGAACAAAGAAGGGCGCACATTATTAATGTCACGAAAGAGTGGACCGCCCACCGGCACCGATACAACGTGAACTATTGCAAAATCGTTAGGGACACAGAGCACATCCTGAATATCATCTTCGTGATGGAGATCGTGTCGGTCGATGAGACACGGGCTGCTTGAAATCGAATTAATCACTGGCCTCTTATCAGCGAGCGAATAAATCGCTACGCGACCGTAACTTCTATTTGATTCTATCCATTCTTTTTCTTCTCTTCTCTTCAACGGCCGTTGCAATACGTCTTCCTTTAAACCACGTTGAAATTGTAACACTACATATCAGAACTTTCGCGTAATCTATTAGGTTGGTGGATATAAAATGTCGTTTTTCTAGTATTTCAATTACCCAGGCCGATAACATCCTGTTGTCCTGTTGTTAGAATGGAAACATTAGAACCTCCTTATTAACAATTACGAATACTCGGAATCTTCACGTAATTTTTTTATACGAGCATAAACTCGGTAAAACGGAATGAAAGTTGCTGGAAACATAAATTACCATTTGGGGAATGTATTGTCGATTTAATACTTGTCTGCAAAATTCAAATTTGGTGATTTTTCATTAGAAAATTAACTTGTTCGTCATTATTTTCTACCCTATGGGTGTACAGCTGATGCAGAACCTCGTTGCAATAAAATAGAAGAAACGCATTCAAAATGAATATTGAAACAGAGCTACGTTGAAATTGTTTTGATTAAATGTACAATGTTTTAAGAATATTTTGAATAGATAAAGTTCCATTGGCAATAAACGACATTTCATATGCACCAACTTTTTCGTAAGAATTTCTTCGTAGCAAGGTAGGAAGATTAATATGGCAGACACAAAGAAGAACCAGCCTTTGAAAAAGTAAATCGATAAGCCACAGACGGCTTGAAATCGAATTAATCACTGGCTTCATATCAGCGAACGAATAAATTGCTATGCGACAGGAACCTCTACTTAACGATATCCATTTTTTTCTTCTCCGTCTCTTTGCTGCCGTAAAGAACGGTACATGGTACAAGATGGAACCGAGTAAATATAATTAATTTAACGATACCTACTTTCTTCATCCTTGTTCGTTTCACTAGCGACGTATTCTTCTTCTTGACAACCAAACCTTGTAAAAGTAGCTGTTTGCGAGGAGTTGTAACTTTGATTATAAATTAAACGATCGTTGTGTACCACATACTTTGTTTGATTAGTGATCAATCCTCGAACGTGATCGCTTCCTTTTTCAGATATTATGGGGAAACTGATTTCGTATCGGGATCCAATCTTAATGACTCAGACATCGCCAGCGCGTTTCGAAATTAAACCTGTCTATTTATGAAAAAATTCACACTTTGCGTAAGTAATATTATTACGCGTACATTATGTTAATTATATATATATACGACAAGAATTTTCAATCGTTTACATGCAGTCTTCCACGCACTCGAAAATGGAAAAATTGAAAACGATAGAGAAGACGAAAAATAGTAATTCCTTCCACAAATAATCGTTTCGTTGATTCAGCTTTCGTTGCAGATTTATTACAATTTCTATTAAAAAATGATAATTTAAATCTCTTTGTGTATTTCGTTAACTTCTTAATTTGAACTCGATCAAAGTTCTTCACTTCCGCTACAGGATGTGATAAAAATCAGCTGGATTCGAAACATTGGAATCATGGCAAAGTAAACGAGCTCGTTATAAAAAACTCAAGGCGAACTTTTCGCGACTGTCCATCGCGTTAAGAGAATGGCGAGGAGTGATTATCCATAAGAGTGCGTTCTACTAACTCTGGAACCACCTTGACACGGTTGTTCACATTTCAACTTGATGGGCTGCACTGCTCTTTAGTATCGTTGTAAATAATTACGATTAAATGAAAATGTCACACTTCGTATCGGTCGGGATCGAACATGAACCTAAGTTATATAAGACAACCCTCTATTTCGATTTAAATGTCGCACACAAAATGGAAAGTGTAGCGAAGTTACGTTTACTTCAAAAATCAATTTCATTCGATTTGAATATTTATTTTCTGTTTATTTCATTTACATGAATATATTTGGTTTCTTTTTTTTTTACCGTACACAACATTTTCATAACAAATGTTTCCTCGACTGAGTAGTATTCGTAAAAATTGTATCACCAAAGAATTATTTATGCAGTAATAGCAAATTGATTCGTTCTTCGATCAATGAAAACTAAATTTGAATGATGTTGGAAGCTCACTTACGTATGAATTTTCATTCTAATTGCACAAAACGAGGAAACGAGTGTGCGTACCTAGGATATTATAAAAAAAAAAAAAAAGTGTTTCAGAAACAGAAACGAGTAATTCCGAAGAGCGAAATAACCGTTTAAATTGCACAACCTGCAGTTTCGTTAATTACGCAATGCACCCTGGTTTATTGTTTCGTAATTTCCCCGTATCGCGTGAGGAATCCTCAAATTAAGTCCACCTGTAAATGACATGGAATCGGATACCGCCGTGCATCTGTATCGATCATTCATGCAGATTGCACCGCAGTATGCAACGCGCGTCCATCATAAATCTTGAATAGAGACAGTTGGCCTTAATTTCTTTCACCGGAAGTCTTTCCATCGAAACACGAATTAAAGCCCCTCGTGCGTGAACATCACGAAGGATATGCATGAACATTTTACCGACTTTCGACGGTGTCGTACAACCGAAAAATCAAACAAAAAGTGTCCCGAATTAAATGTACGGGTTCGTTGCGCATCGGTGAGTTAATATTATCGAAGCGAACATTAATTAACCGGTGTTGCAAACCTGTTACGTGCTGTCGACGTATGTATACCACGTATAGTACGTCTGGGAATCTTTATTTCTCAATCTTTAATCTCCTCTCGATACCATTTATGCTTCCTACAAATGTCTTTGCGAGTAATATCTCCTCTTATTGGCAGCTCGACGTTGAGTCGATTGCTGATAATAATCGTTATTAACGACACGGCGTGTCTAATTCAACATTTAGATTCGATCTCGCGTTAATTCGTCGAGTAAATTGATTTCTGTTATAATACAACTTCGGAAACTTTGTTGGTATCTCGCCTTTCAATTTGCTTAATTTGTTGCTCCGATATACATCCTTGGTATCACGTACAGAGATAATCTTTCAGGGAATTACAAGAACATTTCGATTCTGTTTTACGGTTCTCGTGATTCTTAATTCTTATTAAGTACTTTTAAATTAAATTAACACTCTTTTTGTTAATTTAATTTTGAGAAGGAATTTCTGAGTAATTTAAATTAATTGCATGAATCGATATGCGTTTAAAAATGTAATACTGAGAACGCAAGGCTGTTAGGTGGTCAATACTGGATTAGCTAAATAATTGTAATTAATTTGAAATTCTCGGTGGAGGACAAGGAGTATCTATTATTTGCCTCTTTGAAGCTTTGTAAACTCGTGTATAGCAGTAATTATCGTTAATATTCCAAATATTACCAATGTTCGTCGGGGAAACATAGGAAACGCTTGTATGCAAACGATGAGACAGGTATTTGAATATTGAAAACGTAGTTTAATGTATAATACGATACAACCTATTAAATGTTCTATGAGAATTGAAGCGAAGTTAATTAGAGGTAATAGATAATATATTCTATAGACAATAGATTCAAAATTTTCGGTTGATTGTATTCCAAACAAACAAAAGTTAGTGTAAATAAATGGCGGAGATCATTTGATTTCGTGAATCATTTTTATTAATAAATGTTTCGTTTGAACCTGACTAAAACACGATAAACGATGGCACAAATCGATATATGCAACCCGAATGTTATAGAGTGCATAGCCACGAGCAACTTTTGATTAGAAATCTCAAGCTCGAACAACTTCAAACTGTGACACCTTATTCCAAACGAGGATTAGTGCTATAATGTTGCATCGATCAAAATACCGGATTCACGTTGATGCCGGTTAAATATCATCATTGGAACCTTTACTTAAAATAGATGTGTCCCATTAGGTTGCTATATGGAAGAAAAACTTGTGTACACATTCATGGATCGAGAACCGGTCGCGGTGTCTTCTCCGGTTGTTGCATAATTTGAAAGAGTGCAGTTACTTCATCTGGACCTTTATCTACAGTATCTCACATCCGAAATCAGTAAATTCTAAATTTTTTCAAAGATCGAAGGGGATGAAATAAATTTGGAAAATTAAATAAGCCGTTTGTATTTTATTTAGAAGAGTCTTACTATATTTTTTATAATCTGATACAAAACAGGAAATTATAAAAATCCAAGCAACATACTTCTATGATTGATATGATATTATATGAAATGAGATAATATAGATCATTTGACAAATAAGCGATACATACTCAAGAATATGATACAAATCACCCACAGGAAGGGAATTCTTCTTCATGTAGAAAAAAATTGAAAATGTAGAACAACACCATTTTGACTATTAAAGAAACGTAGGTTCCTGGCTAATAATGAATCAGCAATTGGAAATGCCTTAAAAGTTTTTATTTGTTTGTTGAAATATCGATAACAAATGTACATAGAAAATAGAACAACAGTTGATAATTCAGTAAAAAGAAATTTACGTCCAAATGAATCAAGCCCTATACCGTAAATGCTACAGGAAAATATGTAAACGCATATTTCAGGCACGTTGCTATATGTGTATATATATGTATGTATATGTATATACTTTTTTTCCCTCTAAATTGGACATGTGTCATTGCACATATATAGATACATTTCTACATTCCGATAAATTAACTAATTAGCGAAAAAATTTGAGATCCACTGAACGATTAACTGTTGATCCGATTGCTTTATATGTCCGATACGAAGCGAAGTTTCGTCATTCGAGTAAAGAAATAAATAAAAAGTATTTATACAAATACGCCGTGTTCGTAAATAATACTAAAATTACAATGTAAAATTCGCTATCCTTACGTACTGGCTGGATCTACCAAGTCTTCTGAATAAAAAGTCACGCGTGGAGATAATTGTAATCGTGAGCAAATGTACATGCGTGTAACACAGGTTCCGGTAAGAATTGCTATTCTATCGAATGTTTTGAATAAATCAAAGGTTAAAAGTCAATCCATTAAACGACTATTAAAGTTGAATATTGACCGAGTAGAGAGCATTAGACAATGACACAGAATCTGTTAACATTCTTCGTATACTATAATTAAAGTAAGATCTACACGATGACTTGGACATTTTTGTAAAGTAAAACTTAGTGAGATCGAGAGTAGTCTCAGCATTTTTTTTAAATAAAAATTTATAATTAATTCGTCCCGAGAAACAGTTATAAAACTTTTACACTTTAATTTCCCAAATACTTTCCAATTGCACGACTGTTTGGTTGTCGGAACTTGCATATAAAGCTATACGTATATTACGATGCAAATTCTATGCGGTTAGAATACATGTATACATATGTTCGGCGTTATAAAATTCAAAGTAACTTTTGATCGTTCTATTGTACATATACATTATTGCAACATCAGTGGTTACGAACAATAAAAAGCTCGAAATTACTATTCGTAATGTGAGAGAAACGCTTTGCTTCAGTTACAACAATAGAAGCATATTAATGTGTACCGAAATTGGCGCAAAATAAAGTGGCTTTATAAGGCCACCAAAGAACTATCTCCCACCACAATGTTTGGTCAACTCGACGCACTATTTCCTCATTTAAATAGCCTCGAATACAGACAAACATTGAGAGGTGATCTTGACTTTAATCGGAACATAAACTTATTTCGTCGTAAGAAAATTTGATCTAGTCGAGCGAGTTTATTGAAAAACGACTAATTTATCGCAACTCACGGTTAAAATGAAGTAGTATTGCGAGAAGATTGAACCGAAGAAACTGTACGCGGACAATGATATCAACGAGTCTGAGTTTCATAATAATACAAGCTACTCGAATGAAGAAAAAAAAAAAAAAAAAACGTTTGAACAGCAATACATCAATTTTGTTCCTTGTATCTTCTACTTTACATTTAATCGATTTTTACATTCCGTTTAAAATACAGTATATGTATACATTGAAACTATATATCCTACAAGTAACAACTTACGCCTATATGTACCAGCTTTGTTTATTCGCTTTAAAAATTCGAAATTCGTGAATATATTTCCGTATATATTACACGAATTACACAGAAATAATCGCAATGTATAGACAAAAATATATTACATTACGTTACAACGGTAATTTAATATACACAAAAATGATTTACATCGTAGAATCAAATTATGTTTATTTTGTCGTTTTAAAAAATAAATTACTGTATCGTAGTATTCGCGCAAATTATTCATAAGGATGAGCAAAAATATCGCGGCCGGTGTCAATTGACTCGAAGCATTAACCCATTCGCTTGAACACGTTGAAAGAAGAAAAGAAAAAAATGACTACAACAAAATATTATCGAAAATGTAAGCGTAATCGCGTGAGCAGTTGATATGAAGACAGTTCTCCTTCAAAGGTATAGTACGCACTACGAAAGCTGCAAAGTTCAAGCAAGAAGCTCTTCGCTTCCGTGTGTTTCATTATTTAACGCGTACAATTATTTCGGTTTTTTCCTTATCTAAGCGCGTCACTTCTTAGAACGCTACGAACTGTACATAATACGTACATAAACGTAATTTATAAAATTCTAAAGCTGAAAACTCGTTATCGGATATTACATCAATACTAAACTAAATGTACACGAAATGCTTATCGATTACGTTAATATTTCGTTTACAATCGTGAACGTTAGCGAGTTGAATTATTCGCTTTCGAACAAAAATTCCTGATATTACCTTATATGAAAATATAGCGAAGCGTCGTTGAACGCTATAATATGTATATATTCTAACGCTCGTCGATGTGCCCATGGCGTTCTGTGCAATATCTAACACGTTCGAACGGAATATCGATTATAAACCTTTACCTATTCATTAATGTACAATTGCTTGATAACAGGTTGCACTTTCCTAATTACACTTCATACAAATGTCCTCTAAAACGTATGCGTTCAAAATATCAGCTTCGTGATCACGAGTTCATCAATTCTAACACTGTGAACAATCTATTACAATGATCACTTTGGTTTCTCCCCTCAATGGCAAAATTCATATTAACCAACATTCATTTTACGCAATATAAGGAAGAAGTTGGAATATTATGTACTGTTATTGTTGTTTATCAACCTGTTGAAACGGCATTATATTGGACGATTATTGTACGATTTCACCTTTGAGTCTACTTTGCTAGCTCGATTCAAAGTTTCAATAGCTAGTATGTTCAACTAGCGGCAATTATTTGTCTCGTTTATGCTCTTTTTGTTCTTCTGGCGGTTCTTCGCGAACGGCTGACACCATTCTTAACATAAGGATGGCCAATAATTTGTCTAGAGGATCCATAAAACCTCGTTGAATCCATTTTGGTATCGTTGTACGCGCATGAGAAAATCCTAGTTTCTGTAAGATGTAATCTATGCCGTATGGTTCGATGCTTTTACCAGCCCACGACAGCAATCTTCAATGTAAATGGCGAAGGTTAACAAATGTAGTGTATGTTAGTGGTCTATTTAGAGTCACTGATAAGTAGCAACATACCTCACGGTTGGTTCCAGATGCCATGTTTTACATCTGTACGAACGCCAATCTTTTATAAACATATCTGCTGGATCAAATTGTTTTCGTTTCTTTTCGTCCTCAGAAATATTCGATGGTGGAGCAGAGGTACTGGCTGCGGACATAGACCCACTTCTTCTTCCGTGAGAATCGGAACTATGCGCACTCATATCCTACATTACATATCGAACAAGATCACAATTAGTGACATAATTCTTCCAAACGTTTAGTTTTTTAATCGTAAACGAATTAAACTCACCATTTCTTCCTTCACGTATGAGGTAATCAAGTCATGCAGAAAGAAAAAAGCTTCTGCATCCACGGTAACAAAGATATGGTCCTCGAACTCTGTTATGAAACTACATTCAACTAATGGTTTTTCACCTGTGAAACAAGCACTTTTTGTATTATACATTTTATACAGTATTATTAGTATCAATCATAGCATTGCATTACAACTACGAATCAACATGTTCAAGTAATCCATAATTATTCCATGGCTAAAAAGAAGGCAAAATTGAGAACGTGTTAATATCGCAAATTTTCTATCTAATAAATTCTATACCTATACGATTATGACTTCAATGATTTTCTGTGGAATTTCAATAAACTTAGAAGTTAAGTACAGATGTGTTTGGTGTGGTCTATTTCCTCTTACTGAGTATAGATGGATTATATGCGTTACTAATTCAGAAGTTAGTAACATTGTGCAGCACATGTACAATAAAGGTACAGTTATGGAACTATGCATTTGGTAAATGTTTCATGCAAAGCAATTTATTATATAATACGCGATATAAATCTAATTTAAAATACGTACAGTATAGAGCATTCAAAAGTCTAATATGTTCTACAAATCATAATGCAATTGAATAAAAATTAAGCACTTCTTACCAGACTTCCAATAAATCAATGTTCACATTATACTTACTATATAAAATATGCTTAGGGGCTCCTAAAAATATAGGAAGAAAATAGTTGCAACACACATTTCAGAGAAAGATAGTTACTATCTTAGATAGTAGAAAGACTACTTAATAAAACTGAATTTCACACTTATGTATAAATTATATAAAAAGAAATAAATGTATAAAATATTTTGTTAGGTGTGGCTGTATTGGATGTTGTACTTCACAATTGATTTATATGTATAATCACGAAAACTGAATAGATACAAGAAATATTCCTTACCAATGACATCGGGAGTTTTTGCAGTCTGTAAGTGTTCAGTTTTTAAATGTAACTGCAACGACGGTAGAGCAAATATAACTTCCCTTGCATGAGAATGTTCTTGTAATTTTCCAGAAGTTGTAGACGTACTTCTTCCACGAGTCATGTTGCCACTATCAGACGTGCTATCTGTTCGTTCCCTTTCAACGCATGGAAACCGATCTACTGCTATACATAAAAACCGGTTGATACATTAATCTGAACATCTTAAAGTTAGATGATAGAGGGAACATGAAAATAGTGTTGTAGCAGATAGTTTCTAAAGTACAGAGAAGACATATTTTTTTAAATTATGTTGCAAATATACATACCATCGATTTCACTACTAGCGAATGCATAATGGAACCATTCTTGTAACGATTTAAACTGCGGAGGAAATAGTAAACTGCGACTCAATCTGCAAACAGTAGCCATGGAATGATGCCTTGCATGTTGTTCCTGTTGTTGACCTAAACTGATAGTCAAAGTTTGGACGACGTGGACGTCACACGTATTTGGTGCTGCAAAATATATAGCTGCTACATAACTTTTAGTAAAATTCGCATCTGAATTAATTATCTTCTAACATTTCTTACATTCGACACTTGGGATCTCTTGAGCTTCCGTAGCAAAACTAATACACGGTTCTTTTAACGAAAATATTGCCCAACTTTTGCTCTTAAAGTTAATCCCGTGGAAACACGCCAAACTAATGTTACACCCGTGAAGCTCCATTGTTCCACCGAGTACAGTACCCGTCGATGGTAGAGAAAATCTTAAACTTCCCAATTGAAGACCAGCTACTTGAGCTAATACACCTTGCCAATGCCTATGATGACGAGCATCCGATATCGTGGATTGATTTATATTAGATGGGCCTGTGGTATATAATTTTAAATATGTACACTTCGTTACAATTATTTCGCTTTCATACATCAGTCATGTATATTCAAATTCACCTTCACAGGTAGATCTGTTGTGCTTCAGTCGTCTTCTTTTGAAGCTACTGTTATTTACTCTTTGATGCTTTGGTTGGAAAGAACTAAATACTCGTTTGCTACTTTTAAATTGTTGATTGGAAAATTCGTCTAACTTGTAATACATTTTTAATAAGTCAGCTGTTGTAGATTTACTAATCATAACCTGCAACTGATCCCATCCTAAATCGCCGTGCATGAAAATTATCGCTGGCCTATATTAATATTTAATGAAATGGTTAATAATTCGTTTCACGGGAGCGTGAAAAATGAAAATTCATGTATAAATGCAACCTTCTTGTTGGCATAAAAGCATCCCCGCTATTGTTTCGATTAATTTTCCATTCATCTTTTAGTGTTACGTCCAACGAAGACACTCTGGACATTAGCACGCTGGTACCCATATAATCTAACCGCAATTCCAATGCAAACAGTTTCAAGCCCAACGTGTGATCAGGTTCTATTCCAGGCTCTTCTCGAATATGGACTACAAAAATTTATATGTATGGTGCACCTAATTTACCTGTATTACATTTACCCGTATTGTAAGACAAGAGTTATTATCGATGACTTACTGTACGTATCAATTTTACTCAATTCTATGGTGCCGCCAACAATACCACCCTTTGCGTCTAAACTGGAACCTCCCAATCCAACGCTTATATAGAGATTTTTATGACCAGTACTACCTATGGATAGTCTTCCATCGGACCTAAAATCTTTCGCCATCCACGTAACATTGCCCATCACATTACTCATGTTCATATGAACATTTAAACGAGTGAAATTTATGGCAAATAGTACTAATGTTTCCCATGCGGATTCCCTTAATTTAACTTCTGAGGACGTTTGTTTATCCGAGGTGAAACTCCATCCTCTGCCAATATCTAATGTGAAGGTGAATAATATGGTTACAAAGATATTTAAAGCTGTAATTAAAAAAGATTTTATTTTATGGCATACCTTTCAGTCGTGCATGTCTAGGCATATCACTTTCTAAACTTAATCTTAATTTGTCTCTGTTCAATGTGGGACTTCGTTCTGGGGCACTTTTTGACAATCCATCAGTAGCGTGACGATCGTAATGTTTCAACAGAGAACTACCCATGATTGCTTCGTCTTGGTTTAGAGAGGGACTACCGTCGCCTTCGGAGTATGCAGTACCCGAACTTAAATCTCCCAAAAATAAACGACGCATTATACTACGTCTGTACCATGCTTTTGGAAAAGCCAAAATTTCACTTAATCTCCGCATATCATATTTAAACGACGCAGATCCGATATCAACAATTGCTGTAAAATTACATAGCAATATTTTGTTATTTATGAGACTATACTACTTCGGTGTTCTTTAATAATACTCACTAGAAAATCGTATAACTGCACGACTAGTGTCAGATATCTTTTTCGATTGCTCACTTTGGTAATTTATTTTCCGACTTCTTGACATATGAAATTTTACAAATTCAACGTTGATACTTAAAGAATCTTTCCTCTCGCTGTCCGATAAAGGCGACCATTGCGCTTCTTTTAAGCCTGTCTTCTTTCCCCCGCCATATGGATGGAAGATATAAACAGAAAAATCAGCGAGACATCCAGTGACGGATAATCCACCAATCGCTGAACTTGCTTCTTTTCCCGTTGATTGCATGCCTGGAGATTTGTACTCTCGAAATTCTATGAGCTCTTCTTCTGCTCGCTTGGACGAAAACACTATGTCAAGGGACGGCAATTGAAGCATACACTCTACACGTGAAACTGGCAAACAGGAAAACCTAGAATAACGAACACTCTCATAATAATTAACGTTTATAAACGTATCGATGAAATTGTTTTAAAATTTACCTGAATGTAGAAGGTTGCATATGAAAATACACTATTACATCAACAGGGAAACTCGCGTAAACATAATTGCTACTACTTGCTGCAGTAGCAGCCCAAGATGTGCTCTCCGTGTTTTCCATTGGGAACACGGCGTTCGTGTGCACAGAATTGTGGAAACTCGTTTTGCTTGGTATTGGTTCTAATGTTTGCTCCAAAAATTCAAGAATATGCGGACTTATTATAGTTTCCTCTGGTATGCTTTGAAGTGTCATCCAAGCAAATAGACTGGCCTTCTTAGTGCTAGACTTCTTAAGCGACGTCGTCGATGAAGGATTAAGCATACTATTTTCAGACGACACGCGTGGAGACATAGATTCTTCAGGAAGTGTTTTAGATTCGTAGTGTACCTGAGAAATATTGATTACGATAATAATTTATTTATTAGAATATCGCAGGCCTCATTTCTTTAATTAATTCATCCTACCTTTACATCTAAGCCAGGAATATGAAAAATTGTTAAGTCTACTAAAGGTACATTTGCATGTTGCAAATATCGCAAACGAGACGTACTCGTAGTCGAAGATTTTTCTTTACTACTTAAATGTTTTCGACTACTGCTAGGACTACTTGGTTGAAATTCGAATGTACCACCCGAGCATGATCGCTCTTTCTTCATTCTACTCATACTGTAACAAATGTAATCATCATTTTAGTTGCACGAAATGTGTGAAGCAAATTTAATAACGCGATATATATGTACATTTTAATTTCATCGTCTTTTCCTGGATCCTTCGTGTGGAGCACGCATTTACCGCTATTAATTAGAACTTTCACGTCGAGTTCAAAGTCTATATTAGGTTCTTGAGCTTTCTGTGGCGTTACATACGGCGATGAAGTCGATGACGATTGTTCTTTCCCAAATGAGTCAAGCAATGGAGCACTATAAATATTAAAATACATTAATAGGGACATTTATCATGAAGTCACTCTCTCGAATCGTCGTTTGATTTTTGTACGTACTTTCCTTCCATGCTATCATAACTCGAAGTGCAACTAAGATCCCTATTTTTCTTCCTTAACTCGACTCCTTCTATTTCAATAGAACTTTCTGGCCATTCTAGCTCTCCTTCTGGTAAACTTAGTTCTGATCCAGCACTTGGTAACGATGATTGCCTATGATAAAATAATATCTTGCATTCATGGCGAAAGAAATGCTAAAATTACGCAAGAAACGTACCTGCCCATTGTATGAGTGTCGCTAAAAGTAACTCGTGGCCCATTTAGTCCTCTTACACGAAGAGAAGCAGACCTATTAATTAATATCCACTAATAAAAATCAGATGTATAAGTCAAGATCTATCAAAATAAACATGTATCGTACCGGCTTGGACCACTTCTAGGACTACTTTCGTAACTAGCAGAATTTGCCGAATTGACTTCCATGTTTAGATCTTCGGGGCTTTCAAGCTGATTTTCAAGTGTCGGCGATGGTGCAATGAATGAACGCGATCGGTATGTGTTTGGTTTACCACCAAGGCCCAATTTACCTTTTATTCCGGATGCTTTCACCGACTGTCTTCTTAATTTTTGAATCACGTCCCTACACAATTTATATAGAAGTATTAGTACCGATGTTTCGTTTTATTACCATTTATTAAAATTTATTTGATATAACTATACCTTCTAAAATCTTTAAATACCACAGCTTCTAATTCATGCAAACGTTTCATTTCTTGTTCTATGGTTCCATGAGAAGCACCTAATGACCGTAAATCGTTTATAATCTTCGCTTGTTCGTTCATTTCTTTTTCAATTAATTTTGATCTTTTTTTCGCGTCGAGTGTAGGGTCAAAAACAAATGCTGGTAGACTATCTGTCCAATTCTTCGACTTCTTCATTAATATACTCTCCTGCAAAGGGAAGCCGATTAGCAGATAAATACGCACAACGTTGTGTAAAGAAAGGTGTAGATACTACGAAATAAAAAAACGTTCGTTCATCTTATAAAACTATCTTGAAAACTAATGTTCATTTCATAATACATTACCGAACCAAGGAACTGAAAAAGTAGTATAAAATAAAGATAATTAAACTATATTTTTTTAACCTGGCTAGTACTATTATCTGGTTGATCTGCGTCGTCGCTATCATACTCGGCAGACACATGAATATCGTCCTCTTCAGAACCAGTTAACATCGTTAGCGTGTGCCCAAGCGCAGACAATTGTTGTCCCACGCTAACATCTAAATGAATATCGACACCTTCCATTTGCCACTGTACGTTTAAAATCCACTTAGCGTTATCTAAAAATAATTACAATAAATTATTTATGCAACACAAAAGATTATCAAGATTAAATGATGTTTATATTACCGGATTTGTCCTGTTTTTGTGCAATCGTTCTACTACAAACTTCATATGTGCCTTCCGACACCATGCACAAGTTCATTATACTACCATCAGTCATATCAGGTTTCCAATCATCCAAAGACGTTTCAAAATCTTCAGCAAATCTTAAGCATAAGCCCATGAATCTGTATAATACAATTAGAATATTTTTAGTTCAATTGCAAGATTATTACGGGTGACGTGAATGTAACAATAACACCATACCTTCCTGTACTAACTAAACTACCGCTACTACATGCAGATATGCTTGTGTTTTCCAAGGTCACTACTACAGCATCCCGTGATTCACCATCGTACAATCCTCTATTCATGCCCCAGGTAGGTGGTAAGGGATTAAGGGGTAAACAAATACCCATATCATCCACAGTCAGTTGTAAAAATAATGTTCCTAGATGAGGAGCACTTAGCTGGCTCGTTATTTGTCCAAATGGAACTTTCTCAAACACTTGCTGCGTAGCTGTTAAAACCTCTTTATTCAAATTAGATCTTTTTTCGTTCCAGTACTCATAAGCGTTTTTATAATTTAGCCAAACAAGAATTGCTTTATCGATGGCCACCGGTTGAACATATATCAACGGACGCTTCAGCGTAATTAAGACTACTTCTTTATCTTCGCCTTGTGCCATCTCTTCTTGAAAAGCATTTCGCAATCCCACTCTAGTATTGAAAAACGCGAATTGCTGGAATTCTGGTTCCGCCTCTTCAAATAGGACATTCTTCAGTAACTGTCCGAGACTTAAATTAATATCAACTTGCGCCTTTCCAAATAATTTCATGTACGGGTTTGGTTGAGTAGCGCCAAAAACGTTTTGCACTCTATTAGATAACTGAAGTTCAACAGCGCCAGTTTCTAATCGCACTGCCGAATTTGTTGGAGTTGTTGCAGTCAATTGTATTCTCTGTATATTGAGTAAAAGTCCTTTGAAAAATTGCATCTTGGGATATACGATTTATTAAATAATAATGTGAAAATATCGAACCTTAATGCGAATAATTAATGAGAACAATATTCTTTTTACAGTTGTATTATTGGGTTCTTCATCCTCTAGCCATAAAGGAACAGGTTTCTCCCCGCCGTAAACTTTCTGTACAACTTCATTCACTTCTTTCATAAATACTTTTTGCACAAATACCAAATGATTAAGAAGGTCTGTAGTCAAAGAATGTTCAAAAATACCAATATCAGCTGTGGCACTAAGATAACTGCCTTGTCTCAACACAACACCATCTGTGAATTGCAAAAAGTTCAATAGAATTGCATTCATGTTGTAAATCATCAACAACAGAAACAAGCAATATTTAGATAAAGAATTGTCTCTTACTCACCAGCCAGTTTGCTGTCATTCATATTACTGCTACCATCTTGAATGTATTCTGCGGAGACGTGCACTTTAGGAAGTTCAAGGCTAGCCTCCGAAGGTAAATTCGCTTCGGTCACTTGAAGTTTTGTTGTAAAGCTCAAAGTATGATGAGGTAAATCGATTGTAAATTTAGCTTTACTTCCAGTTATACCGGAACTAGTGACCTGATCCATTTTGTATTGCGCTTGCAAAGATGGTAAAAGAGCAGCCGTTATACTTAAACTCTGAAGTATTATATTAAACTGCATGACAATAGGTTCTAGTAGACTAGATACAACTTGTGGTTTCTCTAAGTCAACTGATGGCGCTGGTGCGTAATGATGTGGACTACCAGGTACACCTACATCTGGTTCATCTGGCTGTTGGCCTCTAGACATTCTCGAAGATGTCCTTGTTACCCTAAGTTCCTAAATAAAAATTGTTATTTAAAGTTACGGTAAATGGTATTATTACGAATAATTATACAAAAAATGAATGTATAAAAACGGTGTACTTGTAAGGTTGATGATAGTTGTTTACTTCCTCTGGTCATCATGCCATGTAGAGCAACTGGATGTTGAGGAATATCTATATTCACAGCACCGACAGTCAACAAACCACTGTTCTTATCTTTCTGACGTCTACTAATGCTGGAATACAAAGCTTGCGATTTTCCAACGGTTACTCTTACAACCGTTTGTTGATTAGGCGCTACACCTTCTAGTAAAACGATCATAGTTCTACCGATTTGTCCAGTTAAGCTACATTCTAAGCTTGCGGGTTTTGATTTTTTACGGCACGTTAAACTGGCATGAAGACTTGTTATTTCTGCCTCTAGTTTTAATCCACTTAGAGTAGCCAACAATCTAGTTCTATGTATCCGAGCAACACCAAAGATAATTAATCTTGTTCGTTCTCCTGTGACAATGCCTGTAATATAGCGTTGTTAAAGAATACTTTGAGTTCTAAAGATATCAGTTAAAATTTAATTCTATGGTACGCATTGCATTTGTACTAACTTAATTCTCGCGGAAGTGGCACTGGTGTTGAGCTGTTTTCAGCGTTTAGTCCTTTTTCAATATCTGTATCCTTCGTTTCATTTAGCAATTCATACTTTCGACCACTTTTATAGTGTTCCGACGCATCTGCAGGTATAGAGAAACGATGCGTAATAGTTTTGGTCTCTGGCCGTGTAGCGTAAAGATCCAACAAATAGTAGATTGTTTTCCAACATCGTGGCGTTAAATGTGGCGTATCTTTACGTTTATCAGGAATTACACAAAATTTATCCAAGCCAGACCCACTAGGACTTGCCCCAAAGTTAGGAGTTATGACTCCCTCGCTCAAGTTAATATAACCTTTCACACTTTTTCCAGTGCTGCGTAATTTTTGAGCAAAACTCTGTGGACGAGATCGAACGGTCGTACCAGTTGATGTAGCTTTAGATGCATTGGGTTCATAACTACTACGAAGTAAAGGGACATCCATTTTTTTACCGCCTAGAAGAAGCTGTTCTTGTAAATCGGACGCTGTTAATCAAATATAGAAGCATTAAATGTACGCTAAAGAATTAAAAAAAAAGAAGCACAGTATGTGGTATTTACTTGATCCATTCTTTGCTGCTGTGTCATTAACAATTAAGTTAGTGTTTCGTTTATTTTCTGGTTGCTGTTCTTTTAGTTCCATTTGCGTTTCCTTAACATTCTGATACATATTACTAATCTGATGTAACAATCTGAGAAGAGGCATATTTACTTGTTGGCTAATGTATCGTATATTTAGACTAAAATTCACAACTGTACTTGTATGCTTTTTCAATTGGCCCCGAGATATGTACAAAACCGTTTGCTTTTGAATCATATCATCTACTGTCATATCTGCCATTTTCTTAACATCTATGTCAATACCAATTTTCTCACATAGAAATGCCGGAGTTTCTGGTGGTATATCCAAATAAAATTTGTTATTCCCTTTCTTCATCTGACATTTACTACCTAACATATTTATTAAAATGTATATTAATATATCAAGTAACGCGGCTCATTGTAATTCTTTCTGAAGATATTTCATTGTACCTTTTTTCTTGTCTGTCAACTTCCCAAATTCACTGACAACTATATCAATACGCATCGTCTCCATATTCCCTACTAAGGACAGGTTTGATCCTAACGACTCTAAAGAAGACTCATTATTCACGTTTCCTGAACCAATGGCTGATAACATTTGTTGTGGCATAACAGATAAGGAAGACAAAAGTGGTTCAAAAATTAAATGTGCATCTAATAGTCTGAGCGAATCTTTCGGATAAAGAAGAGTGCCACTGTGCACATCAGAGTCTTCTGTTTCATCTGTTGTCATTGTGTTGATTTTGGAATCCTGAAAAAGATTGAATCCTGAGTTCATTATATTCATAAATCTATTAAAATGAACAAATAAATTATGATACACAAGATATGAAACAGTAATTGCATAAAGGAACAGATCAAATTCTAAAACGCATTTCAAATACCTTTAAAGATTTTTGCTCTGCGCGAAAGACCTAAGATGAGAGGAATAATGAAAACGACCACTTTATAACAGATAGTTTCATCGGATTCTTATACAAACTCGAAATATTACATACCCAATTCCCTTTTAAATTGGTTTTCTCATTGTCCTTTATAAATTCTTGTTGTTTAGCCATCCAACTGTACAAATCTTCGCCTGTATTTAGAGGTTTATTGGAATGATGACTTGTTGGAGAGGTCACCTGATCCAAACTTCCAGTACTATGCTGACTATGTCCACCTCCAGAATAAATGCTTGGGTTGGAACCAAGTTGATGAGAATGAGAAATATGAATTTGCGGTGTCTTCTCTTCACGTAGCGTGCCGTAACCTGACGTAAAATTCCATTTGTACTTGCATGAATTTTATTTAATTAAAAGACTACAAGATGAATTGAACAAAGTAAAATACAAAGCAACGTACGAGAGATAGAAATATAAAATTGCATATAAAGGGAAATAAATATGAGATAGATAACTAACGAGTGCTATGGAGAAATGATAAGCCAGTTACAGGTACAAAGAAGGAAGGAACCAACATACAAAAACATATAACGTTGTAATTGAAGTGCGAAGCAATACAAACTGCAGACAAACCTAATATTATTATATATGTAGCCGGTATGGTTAAAACAGTCTGTACACTGGAGTATTCAAGCTAATTATATAAATAACAATTACTGCTTTCTCTTTTTTATATATATAATACTTATCCTAACTTTACTATACTTTACATTCTTAATTCATTCAATTTAATTGAATGAATATATTTCACCTGAAGTTTACTATACCAATATATAGACTGTCGATACATAGTCTATAAAGTTTGATTATCTCGCACTTACTTATGTTATTTGGTTCCCGAGTTTGATTGAATAACCCGCCACTTGCAAGCAATGGGAAAACAATACTTGCTCGTGTACTAGCAGGCACTTGCGTGGGCTGTAGTGATTTTCCTTTCTTTGGATGAGCTACTGGTGGAGAGGGGGAGGTTAATGAATCCGGGCCTGGAATCGGTGTTGCTAGAGGGGTTGTATCTTTCCCCCGAGGAGAACTTACAGGAACCGTCAAACCATCACCACAAATACCTGGTCATTCCATATCAAGCCATGTTTTTTGTTCAGAAAGCCCAACATTATATTATCAAAATATGTTTAAAGAAAGCATATTACAGTTTCAATAGAATTTAGTATAATATTATTTACAAAATGCAACTGGTTATTTGATTTCTACACATAGTAGCCTAAATATGTTCTGTAAAGACTTATATGCAGAGTCATGTGTAGGATTCTTTGAAGGATCTCTTCAGTCTCTTAAAGATCCTTCAGATAATAGGATTTCGAAATAGAGGACACTATTTGAAATAATTAACAAACTCTACATACAGGTCTAATATCTCACTATTACTGGTACTTGAAGGATAAAATCAGAGAATACTAATAGAAGCAAACAAATGTTTATACAGCATAAAAGAGAACTTTTAGTAGAATATTGATCTTATTGCGTAAATACTTTACAATTACTAATCCTAAAGGCACATGCTACAATGTGCCTATACAAAAATGCAGAGTAGGACATGAAGCAGTTATTGACATAACGATTTAAAGCAAATGCTAGAAAGCTGCAGGTGTATTAAGTTGAAATCTTATAAAACATTGAATAATCGAATAAAACTGCATCAATGGTACAGTAATACTTATACAATGCATTTTTTTCAATCTGTTGTGTTGTGAGTCATGTAATTAATATCTTTGTTGAATTTAACTTATAGTACCTGTAGTTTTATCTTGTCCACTCTTGACATGTGTATGCTTATGCATGTGGTCCGTATGAATTAACATAGCACATTCATCTGTGACTTCCTGATCATCAACTTCTCCTCCACTACCTTCATCTGTCAGCAAATTTTCCTGTGGACGAATAAGTCAAACCCGAAATATTTATTCAATGACTTTAGCAATAAAAGACAAAATATTTCATGTAATCAGAACGAGGAACAAACGAAGTAAAAATTAACGTTTTCTCGATTTTTAGTCAAACATGATAAAGGTAAAACAAATAATTAGTAAATGGATAAATATAATTTCGGGAAGATTTTGGTTTCAGAAGTTTTGAATTTCACAGGAAGTCTTGAGATTATAAACAAATTTGTGCATATTACATTTATGTTTTCAGATGTATGAAATATACACACGCATTAAAAAACCTTCACCAATTTCGATTTATATCAAAGCAAACAGACTCGAATTACGGGTTTTTAAGCCCCAGAGCTAGGAATGGTTGTAGTTTTCTTAATAAGAAAAACGGAGAAAGGAATTTAATGGTACTATAAAATATTCCGTATTTCTTAGGAGGATTTTCTTAAGTATTTATCAAAATTTATTTTAGTATTTTAAAAGATGGGACTGCTTGAAGGGTGAGGTTCTAGACGCAGCTTCTTAGATACTCCCCCCCCCCCCCCCAATTGTGCCTGAAAGTGAGGTGTAAATCAAAGCTTTGAATAGCATATAAAATAGAAAAACCATATTTTAGTCACGAAATATGTAGATGACATGAGTAGGCAATTTTCCTTATTAACAAATACATGTATGCATAATAGCGCTAACGCATTATTCTATGTTAGAATAGAGTTAATATTTAGTTACGTGAAGAAGCTTGTGCGTTTATTAGTGTAAAAAGAATTTTAAGCTTCCATAAATTTTTTTATGAAAAAAACTTTCGAAGATATAGTGTTAGAACTATTGTTGTGCATATATTTGTAAAATTCTTACTCCATTTTCTATCGAAATCATCCTTCAGCACTTCCTTGCCTATTTGCTGAAAAAAAATGATCTACCGAATTATATTCCTCATAAAATAGATTATGAACTTCTGAATGAAATAAAAAACTTCTTTAATGTCAGAGTTACGTTATTAAAGTCAATGAAATTATGGTATTTAAACATTATTTAAATTATTTACATAAAAGGAAATGAACAGAACTCCAAACCAAAGTATGAAGTGTTAAAGAAAGAAATATAATGTTAATAATTATTTTGGAATAAATTAATAAGGGTCAAAGTATCACATAATTTAGTCATGTTGTATGAAATCGTATAGAACTCCATTCCAAGTGTTTGTAACTTAATTCTTATTATAAACATTTTCAGTTCGCAAAAGTAACATAATGTATTCATACCTCGTCTGGATCTGAAACAGCAAACGTAACATTCAATGGTTTCACATGTTTCGTTTTATAATTATGTTCCAACAATAGTGGTGTATAGAGAACATTCTTCCATTGTCTACTCAATACTATGACACCCTAAAAATTGATGATATGCATAAATACACACATGAATATGGTTTTAAATACCTTTATTTATGGCAAGTTTGTAATACAACTTACCTGACGAAGCGTTGATAACAACGGTAAATCAGACTCTTTTAAATTGGCTTCAATGTTTGTTAAATCATTTAATAAAACATAATTTTGTAAAATTGTACATAATTGACATGATGGATCTTCTTGTAGTGTTTTTGCTAGTGGCGTCAATCTTCCATAACGACTCTAAAGTATAAAATAATAATATTAATAGATTTTTTAGATAAAGTTATCTCATTAGATACAACAAGGCATATTTAAATACCTTAGCGGGCATGTGAATTGCCTGCACGTCCAATGCCTCTGCCATGAGACAAGCAACAATAGCTGTCGACCTTCTGTACATAGTTCTGAACATATGCACGATTCGCATTGCGAATTTATTACTAGGATTCATCCAGGCATTTATAGCTGGCGATGCTGTACTCAGTAAATTCCAATCTAATCGAGTGTAATCAATTTTTCGTGTTATTGGAGTACGCGGGGGCGCTGCAAAGTTAAACCATACTGTTTTTAATTCTATGATACAAGAGACAGTATTTCCATTCCCTGCTTTCGAAGCAAGACTAGCACACGTAGCACTGGTATTTATTTGGGCTCCGTTAGGTACATTTGTTGATGTTATTTCTGGTTCAGCTGGAGGCGCAGTAGAAGCTATAATATGATAAATAGATCAGTTAGATAACATGTAAATAATTGTGAAACGTCTAATCATAAATATTATATACCAGTTGTATTGTCTAATTCCTCTTGACTTTTTACACTATCTGTATAAAATAGTTCCGCATCGACTTTTTTACTATCACTCCCGTTCTCTCCTTTTTCAAACTGAGATCTCTTCACTACTTTCAATTTGATACCTTCTAACCCGCATTCAAACATTATAAAACCCAATCGATCTTCTCCACTTCCCAGAGTAAATTCTTCTGTTGCTTGTGGAGGACCAGTTTGTTTCTGTAATTAATACATAAAAAATAAATTATAAATAATTTGTACAAATCGATATAAAGTAAAAGGAATGAAGAACATACACTTTTTTCTTTGTCATCCATGAATTGATGCAGATAATAATCAACGCATTTCAATGGGGATGTTATTCTGGTGCATGTAAATAACACTCTCGAATAATGAGCAGGAATAGCCGTTATAACAGCATCTTTCAAAATTGAAGATTCGTTCCTAAGTCGACGTAGTTGCGAATGAGCTTTGCCTATTACATTAAATATCTGAGTTAGCCCTTTGCGATATTTCAGGTTTGTTATATCATACGATTACCTATATTTAACGTGACTACAATTTCTTCTTGTTGTTTTTCTGAAGTTTCTATATACACTGTCTCTCCACTTCCAATGTCTGCAACTACGGCAGCCGTTTGATGACCAGGCAAGAATGCCTTACTGATTTTGTTGACTTTTTTCTGATTTGGCAGTACAACTGGTTTATGAAACGTTTGTACTACTTCTCGGGCTTGTTTCCCGATATAAAACCTTGCAGTCACATCGTCAAAACAGATAGCGAACAGTGACACACACGTTAAATCGCGAATGTTTTCAAGCGCGGAAAAGGATATGATTTCTTCAACGACCGAAGCTTGTAATAAAGTTATATTCATCTAAAAATAATTAAGAATAAGTCTACAATAATAAAAAGGGAAATTATATTATTTAGAAAATTAAATAAATTCAAAGGTATTCATGGCCATCCCAAACAATATATTAGAACATTTTCATCCTTCGTATTTGTTTTTTTATATTGTTAATTACCTTTGGTAAAATAATACTGCCTTGTATTTGTGTCATAATACTTTCTTCGTACACGTTTGTTTGTAGTGCAATTTTACCTGGTATTCAAAAGAATTGTTAATAATAAGTGTATAAACTAAGTACGAAGAAAATGCATTCTGTATAAACTAACGTTTGTCATCACCTTGACCATCTTTAATATTTCTTTCAGCCGTAGATCGTTTTGAACTAGTTTGTACCTGACCCCAGTATGATAAACTCTGATCCTGCTTCAAAATGTTAGCATCTTCGACTTTTCCGATACATTCGTGATGAAGATGATTTAGAATTGTTAACGGATGCAAGGAAGCTAATGTCGGTATGATAGCGTCAATGAAACGTTGTAAAGATTCTAGCACCATGGGACTTAACATAATATCTACATCTCCTTTAAATTTTACAATAATCGTTGTACGTGATCCACTTTCATGCTGTACTGCTAATAATTCCTCTTCATTATGGGTTGTATGCTCTTCTTCTCCTACACATAATTGTGCTAATTTTAATCATCATAAAATAGCTAAACAAGTATTCTTTAGCTAGCAACATTTGTTATTGAAGTTAAAACTTTAATTTATTATAATATGAAAATACTTATTACACACTTTTACCTTCCATCTGATTTAAAGTTGTACTATCCCAGAGATATGGATGCGTAGGTGTTTTATTAGATGAATTAGCTACGGGCGAGCCGTCGGATCGTGTGATCATTTTCAATGATGTAAATCCTTCAGTGACAGTTTCAAATTTCGGCACATGTCGCCCACCAACGTAAACTAATCTACCATCCTCGGTACGTTGGAAAAGCGGCGTAGTGAATGCACCACTTCCAGCTGGTATCGACGATTGACTCCAATTAGAACAACGCACCTGAGATGAATTGTGCACTTTGTACTCATTAAAAAGTTTAAAAAAGTAATACACGCGTGTTTGACACTACCTGAGTTAAATGGCTAACGTAGCTTGACATCAGTAGTGGAGAATCAACAATTGGTTTATTTACTTGCATATGCAAATTTACAAGGGTAACATCTTCTTGCGAGGAAACAGCAGATATAAAACTTGTAGAGGAAACGGAATGACTATCAGATGAATCTCGTAATCCACCGTTTCCGTTCGAATCAATGTCATTTTGAAAACTAGTGTTTCTATTTACTCTGGGACTTCGCTTCGCGGTTACCGTTTGTGGCTTTGCTCTCTCTAAAGTGTGTGCCTTCTCAGACATGGGAACATTTACATTCGCTGAACTTTCTACTATAGATAAGTCGGACGAAAATTTCTTTTTCATGCTGTCATTGCGAGTTAATACCGAACCGGATCCGACAATAGATTGACGTAAACTTGACGTACGACTTCCACTCAATCCGTGACTTGTGTCTTCGTCGGCAGAGTAAAAAGCCTCTGAATGGTTTTCCGAAGACATAGATATTGTTCGTTGAACCTGTGAATTTAAAAATAAACATAAAAATATATGTTGGAAAACAATTAATACCTGATCTAAAACACACGTCGACTCTACCTCTTTCTTTAATTTTTCATCGGACTCTGATTTTGTATATAACGAATGACGAGAATCAGACATATTAACACCATCAACAGTTTTCGTACTTGTTTGCACCGAGTCACAAAAATTCGCTTCTGTAGATACAATTGGTAACGACTGTGGACTATTTGATTCAAATGGTTCGACGTCCGATGCATTGAAATAATCTACAGCTAATTTAGAGTCAGACACGCTACTTTTGGGAGCAGTATCAATTTCAGGAACACTTAAAATGGATTTACTGCGTTCCGTATGTAACTTTGAATCCGAATCTAATTTTTGCGGCAACTGTGCAACAGGACTCGCATCAACTAATCGAGAATACGGGACATCTTTTACACTGTTTCCGCTGTAACAGAATACATAAAGATGAGATTTCATAAAATAACAAGCGCAGAATATTAACGTTTAATTTTGCAAAGTAATAAATTTGTTGGATACCTTCATTAGAAATACTATTACGTGTTATCATTATGCATAGCGTATTAAAAATAAATGTTAGAAATTAAGAATTGTTTTTGTTAGAAAGGTATGAAAAGCTTGCAAGCAGAAAATTTTCGTGTAGACAGAACCCACTGAAACTTAGGATACATTAACAATCACATTGACGAATAGCAGCGTAAACGCAACGATATGCAGCCTTAATATTTTCATTATTGTGATTAATTTTTCATTTGACAGTTACACAGTGTAAACTGCACATGTGTTCATGAGCACGTTATAAATTTTAGCATATTTATACAACCATGCAGTACTTAAAAAATCATTAAGCCGGTTCAAAGCTAGTCCGAGGATTACCGCATTGATGTATAAGAAAATCTTCTGCCCAGCAGTTTCCTTTCCCCACTGCATGCGAATGGACTTGCTGATGCAGCAATTAATTTTGTACTACTATTTTCTTCGATACCGGAATCTTTATTATGATCTGTCACAGACCTTGGACGTTCAACACCCTTTTTCGAAGTGTGCGGTCCATCTTGAGTGATGGTTAATTTTCCTACAACTGGGTGATCTTGCAAAGACACATCTTGCAAATTGTAAGGGGAGGTATGAAATACCAGTTGACCATCATGTAAAATCGATTGCCCAAATCCTTTTTCTTTCCCAGTCTCATTAATTCTAAAATAAATAAAAGAAGAAATTGTCCAATTACTATCTTCTCTTCCATAATATAGCATTTATCATAAAAATAATTCATTCGTAATTTAAAAACTTATTTACAGTTTTATAAATAAATATTATATACAATATACCTATATGCAGCAACATTAATGCCATCTTGAAAATCATGGCAACTTGGTTTAAAAAATCTTGGCCCGTTCCGATTATTTCCGAAAAATGAGCATCCACCTATGCAACCACACTTTCTTGGTTTTACACCACTTTCTTGAGGCCATAAAAACCATAAGCGTTTCGTGGCTTCGTCGTGCAATTTTAAATATTTATTTTGTACTAGATGTAAATTGTGTTCAGGGGTCGGAAGTGAAATTGCAGCTTCCAAAATAACTGGGCCTAAGGCTACAGATCCTACTTCTAACCAAATATCAGATCCATCGCCTAAAATAAATTATAAACAGAATTGCACAATCTGTTTGTAAGAACTTTACATTTTTAGTATTGCATATTATAATGATACCGGACATACGGCTGCTTGCGTTATTATGAGACCTTCCACTGCCTGTTGTGTTGGTATTACTTGTGTTTGCAAAATGATCAGCCACTGATACAAACTGTCGTATTAATATTCTAGGTAATACAGCAGTTACTCCTGATTTAACTTGTTGACCATGAAGATTGCACGTTGAAACACGAATTGGAGATATCCAAACGTGTACAGTAGTTCCTACCTCTTGAAAATATAAGTCAATTGCATCTATTGCTATTCTTGTCATTCTATATTTTATATCCTCAGAACTAGGACATCTATAATAATATAATAGAAGTGAAGTATAAACTCCTGCTTTAAATACCAAATAAATTAAAATCGATATGCAGATAATGATTGGTCATATAGAGCAATGCATTAAGTTCAGATTAGAAGTAAGTTTCAACAATTATTGTGTACCTGTAGTGTTTATCAATGTCACTGTCAGGACATTGTAAAGGAGGAATACCATGATGACAATGATGTGGTAGATCAGGTGGACGTAAACTATTCTCATTATTTTTTGCCATTAATAAGAATGTTTCCAGAGATGTAATAAGGTGATGCAATTGAGGGGAACTCATTTTCCCAGTTAATTTTCCTAATTGCACTTCTATTAACCAGGCATACTCCAAAGTTTCTTGATCTAAACTTCTTCCTTCATTACTGAACATGGCATGACCTCTTACTTGCAATGCACTCAACATTAAATGTCCTTGATTTAAATGACGTTCCTTGCTCGATCGTACAACGTTATCGGTAATTAATGCAATTGCAGGCGAAAGAAGTAATTGAAGTTCTGTTTCCTTATACCGTTTATTCATTTCAAACCCAAATCGTTCAAGAAGTATGACCGGACAAGGTGGATCATTCTCGCCACAATTTTTCACTAGGTGAGCTTGAATGTCATGCATAGTAATTCCAACCGTTACTTCCAATGGTCGATAATCTCGTGGATCGAATGACTTTGACCTTGCATCTTCGTCTTCTACAGATTCAATACTACTATTTTGCACGTCTTTATCTTTGCTTCTTTCTGTACTCACAGATGTCGGATTTGTTCGACTCTGTTGCATATCAGTAAAAGATTGATAATCGCCAAATAAATTTTCTTTCAGATGTATAAAATATTTCAAAAGTGATCCATATACAATCAATATAGACGGACCTATTTCAAGATCTAAACTAACTTTATCAGGCGCTATAGACTGTGGATCAAATTTTTGATTACCATTTCTAGTCCACCGAAGACCCGGTGATTTTCTACATCGAGGAATTCTCATTGGAGATAAAAGAATTTCTTCTTTTTCCGGAGTAGTTATATTTGCTTGTGGGGTAGGTCCTAGAGGTGGACAAGGATGATATGTATAATTAATACTTAATGCCACGATGGGCACAGACCAACAATCAACCCAGCCTGCTCCCTTCTGGCAAACATTTCTCCATTTCTTATTTTTATTTAACTCTGATAAATATATGTGTGAACCATCGCGTGTCATAATTTTTGCATTTTTATTCAAAGTTAATAAAATTGTACGACTTGTATTGACTTCGGGTAAGTAAAAGGACAGGTCGACACTTTCACCTTGAATCCAAAAACGCAAAGGTATCGTAACAGGCAAGTAATCCACAAACGGAAGATCAAACGACAGCTCAAAGAGTTCTCCACAAAAAGCAATGTGCGCATTTTCTTGATTTTGCGATGAACAATCAATCCAATTATATTCATTACATAATGTGATCAATTCGAATTCCTTCAATAATAAATTAAAGTTCCAGGTATAAGGTACAAAATGTAAAATATCAGGTCTGGCTTTACTGGCCCAATCATTAATCATATCTTGAAAAAATTCTTTGTGCGAATAAACTAAATTAGCAGTGGCTTTACATCCAGTTAAATTTAATGTCCATTCTTGATGATCGTTCCATCTTATCGGATAATGACATTTAATACCAAATTCTAATGTTTCACTTTCGACTAAACTTCGATATTGTAAACTTGTAGTTGCTTCTAAATGCAACAGTTGACCTGTTATTTTTGTAGTATATCCATCTTGCAAAACTATCCAAGGCATAGTAATTTCCAGATAAGATCCATGTCCAACATTAATGTGAACAGCATTTGTTTCCCTGTTCTTACTGAAGAGTATATCAATTGTGGCCTCATTCAGTGTTGATAACCTAATATCGAACGATTGAACTTGTCTTTTTTCTCCAGACATAGGTGACTTTGTAACTTTTAGTGGCTGATAATCATTAGGGAAAAAGAATTTAAATAAATGTTCTCTTTGTCTATCAGCCCAAGGTCCATAACTGAAGTCAGTTCCCTTTCCACACTTAACATCAATACCCCAAATTGGAGGCATAGCTTCTACCATGTCCCCATTTACTAACTGAATCATTTCTGGATGCTCAGGGACAAATCCAGGTTCGTCCATATAGTAATACACTTCCATATTATTTGAACTTAATACAACAAATCCTTCACCCATGTATCTAGGTGGATCATCTACCATTCCTGTATATTTTGGACTAGGTGCTAAAATGACTTTGAAATTTTCGGCCTTACATTTCGTAGTATGCATGAAATGATCATGTCGAGATGCTGCTGGTTTTGTAGAATATACGAAATGCGCTTCTTCTACAGTTATTGACAGAGTTGTTGGCACTAACCGATTACCGAACACCAATCGTCCCTAAAGTAACAAAATGTATTAAATCACAAAAGATCTATGTAACTACCAAATTATACGAGTTTTATGTATTAAAAAATGATTTGTAGACTAACCGTGCAGACATCTAATTTAATAACGGGTATTAAATCTCTCCAAGTTCGAGCTATAACGTGAGCTTCTTTTTTCCTAATGTTATCAACATGACGTGAAACATCCATTGCATTTATTTGTTGACGAGTTTCACGAGCAGTATTACTAAATGACTCTACATCGCGATCATCAATATTAACGTGATGATCTTCTTCGTCGGAAAACATTTGGGGCGTAAGACCAAATGATTTCTCTAGTTGTGCATAGAGTTGACAGCGATTGTAAACATGTAATTCAAAGCCATTTAACATGACTGAAAGTCGAGTGTCGGAATGTGAAAGATCTAAAAAGAAATATTTTCCATTATTACAAATTTCGTAATATTATTTAAAAAAAATAAATGTAACTCATGAAATGTAAACAATTACTAAAATTATGAAAACAATCAGATCATTGTAAATTAACATGTTTAATTGAAAGCCTTTAGAAGTAAAAGATTCATTCCATTTCTTTTGTAAAGTCTCTATAACTCAAAATATTTTTCATTTCTCTTAAACTTTGATCTACCAATATCTGATTGTATTTATACATCATAGATCTGTATAAAGAGAATTCTAAATAAGAGGATGAATACAATTATGCAATTGCATTTATTGCATAGAATACCTTCAGATACATCTTTGGGAACATAACTTCTCCACCACCTAAATATAAGCCACCCATCCTGAACTCTGATACTATAATCTGTTGTGATATAAACTATATCTCTAAACATTATTTTTCCGCTCAGTGCACTTAGAGTAAAAGACCCTAAATATAAAAGAACATATGTTAAAATTAATTAATAGAGTCTGAATAAAAACATTAATACGAATCAAACATGGATGTTATAAGCACTCACCTACTTTAACATATCCATCTCTAATAACAAACCGATTTAATAATTTTGTTAATATATAACCGATAACTCTGCTATTATAATAGGCTATATAAATGATCCAAGAAATAGCAGACACTAATGAACAAAGTAAATACATAAAACTACTATCCATCTTAAGGTCATCAAGGATGACATGATCGGAATAATTCCAAAAGGCTGGTTCAATTCCAGAAAAAGATGGAACTGTAGCATTGTATAGCTCGTTCTCCTCCATGATGATGTTTCTTTTTAATTGTGGAATAAAGAACAATTATTCATTGTGTCATTCAATGCTAAAATCAAAAAGAGGAAGTATATATGAAGATGATACAAATTCATTAAGTTGTGTTTAAAATTTGTTATTTGTAGCCTAACATAAATAATATGCACGCACTATAATTTGTTATAAATTACTATTTTTATGTTATTGTTTTTAACTTCATTAAAACAGAAAAATTTTGTTTTATTAATCTTTGACAGTTATTATACAGTTATTATAGGAACCTCAAAAAGCTAAGAGTTTGTAAACATAACCTACTCAACAAACTATAATTAAAAATTACACCACGTAAATTATTAATTAGGTATTCATTACCTATACACTTCATGACATGTATCATTATTGCTCATATTAATAATTGACAAAATGTTATTCATTCTCGATCAGAAAAGTAAACATTTCTTAAAAAGCTATTATTAACGTAGCAAAAATATTTGTTATTGTTCATATTGAAATACAGAAATTATGCTCCATCATACATTTATTGTCACGTTGGGCCATTTAAATGATTATCTACTTATCAATGAAAGCAGAATACATATACTGTGTAATGCAATCAATCGTATTTTTAAAAAAATGTACTTCGTATATAAGTGCCAAGTCAAATTAATTTGTTTGACCTATTTACCTTCATTCGTTACTTATATAAGAATTACATTCAATTTTTGTAGTGTCACTCATAGTTTTATGTTTATTAGTATATCAGTTTTAATAGATGTTATAGAACTGTCATCGATGGACAGCAACACACATAACCACTCCATAGTGACTACCGTCATTGACTATAAACTTTGTAATGATGTACTACCCTTTGTTGCTACGAATTTAGTGACATCTATACAAAACATTCATGTAACAATATTTACAACAATAATAACAACGACAGCTCGAACAAGCATATTAATATATCATAAAATTATTAACTCAGATAACATTGTTTAATATCTATTTTCAGACAATGTACAATTTTGATATTTCACAAATCTTATCCTGAATCCTGTAATTTATTGTAGTACAGTAAATTTGTTTATTAATTTTGTACGGCAGATATAGAACTTATGTATATATGTATTTCTGTAGTATTTTTTTAAGTATATTTTTTAATGAAGTTGCACGTCTATGTAGTATGACTATCGTACACAATAATGGTGCGCGTTTAAATGAAATTCAATCCTGTAGAATACAATCTTTATTTTAGTAGTTATTTCTATTTTTTTTAACGATTTTACAGACAAGCTTTAATTTTTTTTAATATCTTAACTCATATCAGTACTATATGTATGTACATAAACCTGAATTCTGCAAATATTTTGTAAGAGTTTTATAAGTAACGGTTCGTGAGTGTACGTATTGTAACGTTTTCTTTAAAATTTATTCTATGCATTTTATAATGTAAACAATGAAAAATAATTAAAAATATTATCAAAGTTTGTATATGAGAAAATAATCGTTCGCATTGTTTATAAATATGTTTACTTTTTATTTTCAGGTCAATGTCCCCACCACTATGAAGTTTTTGCTACATTTAACTACATTTTGCTTACATTTGCATTAATTGCATTTCTGTATATTTTGTTGTTAATATAATATAAATCTAATAATAATGGAAGAGAATGTGGACACTTTTGCATGGGTACATAGATTAGGATGCCCAGCAACACTATGCAATGATTTAAGCAAACAAATGTTTGTACCCTTTATCAATTACAAAGTTAATTTTAGTACCACAATATTTAAAAGCGATGTGTAGTACAATTATATATTTTTATTGTGGAGTATATTATTCAAACTTATTGTAATCATGAATTTTGTGATATATTTGACAGATTAAGAAAAGGACTCATTGCATTCCTGTGGGATGATTTAGCTGATGTTATATTTACTTGTGACGAAACCACAGTTATACGAAAAAATGTTCTATTACATCAGTTGAAAAATGGGAAACCCGATAAAATTGTTCAGTGCATTCAAAATATATCACGGATGAAATCAAATCGACAGAACTCACGGAATCAAATATCTAAGTTAGAAGAGGAATATGAACAACTAGATTTTGCAGTCAGACAAAGAGGTATGTTTACTACTAAAAATACAAAAAAGATATCTATTTAATTAATGATTCTTTTCAGTACAAAAATTAAGAGATACATCATCTAAACATTCGCAAGTAAAGGTGAAAAAGCAATTGCTGAAGATGAAATATGATGAAATTAATACACAGCTTTGTGATTGCAACGAAATGAGATTAATTTGTCAACACTTAATGCCAAACACTTGTACAAATTTAGATCCTAAACTGATAACTGAAATGTCAGATATAGTAACTAGTCTTTGGGCTGGTGCAAATAAACGACATGTATGTAGTTAGATAACATTCAATATACAATATAGCATCAATTATTTGAAATTATATTTTTAGGTGTGGGATACAGTATCAAATAATCTTGACAATATTGAAGTAACTACATTGTGGCATCTTTTAAATCAAAATTTAGGTGAAGCTGTGGATACACTAATCGCGTCAGGAAATACGGAATCTTCGGATACGGTCGAACAAAATTCAAGCAATGGTTTTCTCAGTATACATGGACAGCATATTTCTATGATTTCTAAACGGTTACTTTATCATGCAAATGCAGGAAAGGAACAACAAAATGTTCTTGAATATATAAAAAAAATTGAGGTATATTTTACGTTTATTGAACATTATTCATGATTTCAAATAAAAACCAATAGTTATTTTAGGAGGCTACAAATAATTCTACGGATGTAAGTGAATGGTTAGCATTGTCATTGGAAGTTCGTAAATTAGAAATGGAACAAAGAAATTTAGAAAAAGTACTAGACAAATTTCAACATGATTTTGATGAACATGATACATTAGCTTTCGATTTAAGTGAACTGACTTCAGAAATACAAGATATTAATACCAAGACTGTATGTTAATATTTTAAAATAATTACTAGTCTTTTTAATGTCATCATACTTTATATTAAGTGGTTACTGAATCTTAGGTGGAATATATGCAAGATGTACAGCAATCACTAAACCTTTTGAAGTCTTCTTCAGCACAGCTTATGAAAACGAAAGAAAAGATATTGTTAGAATTACAAAAAATATTAGCATTGCGTAATGCTGGTTGTGACAGTACATGGTTAGATATTAATTCAAGTACTACTGAATTAGATACATTCCATAATACCTTGGATCTTAATGCTTTAAGAAAAATCATGTTGAAAGGAAATGTTGGAGTTTATAGGTTTGTTTTTATATTATATGAACTTAGTCTGGCAGTTGATGAAATACAATTTTTCGATTAATAATTAAGTATACAATTTTTTCAGGTATACGAAAAGTTGTTTTAATGAAGCATCGCTCTTGATTAGAAACTCTCAGATTTCGAATATTATGTGTTATTTTCCAATGATTCAAACACCAATCTATTCTTTAATAGAATGTTATAAAAATTTAGTTTTACTGTTTGTTTACAAAAAATTTGAATCGTTAAAAATTGATGAAAATTCAGATGTATTTCAAATGCCTATGTTAACAAACGAAGAAACTAATACTCATATAGTCAAATTATTAAATTTATCAAAAGCTGTTAATACAAAGACAAATATAGAAATTGATAACTTTAACAAAATATTAAATGCTTGGTAAGTGATTAAATAGAAATACTATTTTCCCTACATAAAGTGCAGATATAAATTCTTGTATTATTATTCGCAGGGTACATCAAACAGTTCAAAAAGTAATGGAAATTATTGAAAAAACTGTAGATGATGCGACTTTTCCAGATTGGGTTAAGCGTTATGATCTATCAATATATATGTTACAAAATCCACCACAGCGTTAAGCGTATTAATATATTTTATTTTTATGTACTAAGCATTTTCACAATATAATGTTTTTTAATAAACATAATTGTAATAGTCAATGCGATGTAGGACGTTTATTATACCGTGTTCGTATATAAATTTCATTTTTAAGGAAATATTATAAAGTCGAATAAACACGGTTAAAATTTTCTGATAAAATATATCAAACGTATCTTTCTGTATTACTTCGTAGCTACAATTAAGAAAAGAAAGAGAGACATAAAGTAGAAGATTTTTGAAAAATATTTTTACGACTCGGAGCTCAGATATGAAGTAATACAGAAAGATACAGTTGATTTGATATATTCTTCGATTTGAAAATTATAAATTCCCCTAAAACGTCATCCTGTTTTGTCAGGAAGTTTTGTAAGGAAGAGTTGGTAGGTAGGTTCAGTAGGTATTCGACATCATGGCCAATATGATTAGTGACTTTTAGTTCCAAGCGTTTATGGAGCGTTTACTGGCATAATGATAGCGGGTGTTTATGGTTGTGGTATGGTAGTTGAATAGCATGTTGAAAAGTGATTTATAACAATAAAAAGTAAAAGTAATTACTTTGTATAATGCAACTATAATTGAGTATTTTAGACATACATAGTAAAACAATATATTTTATTGTATTATAAAATGCTGTCGACTGTTTTGAAGTCTGTATTTGGTTATGATAATTTCAAAAGCGATGTTCAAGAACGAGCAACCACCGCTGTTTATAAAGGTTGAATATTGGTTCTATTAGATAATAAATTGCATGATGCTTTCACTTATCTATTTATGAATACCTACAGCCTTCTTCTGTTTGTAAACAAAAAAATAACTTTTACTTTTACATATGTTAGGTAAAAACGATGTGTTTGTATGTATGCCAACTGGTGGTGGCAAATCACTTTGTTTTCAATTGCCAGCAGTAATGAAAGAAAATAAAGTCACAATTGTTTTTTCACCTCTATTAGCTCTAATGAAGGTATATGGATTTTAATTTAATGATAATACGTGGATGAAGATGGAATAAGTTATATAATAATCATTAATTATTACAGAATCAAGTAGATTTTTTAGTTAGTAAAAAGATAAATGCTACCTCATTAAATTCAAATACATCCACGAAAGAAAGAAATGCAATAATGAAGGATTTAACATCTAATACACCAAAGATCAAATTATTGTATGTTACTCCTGAAATGGGAGCACAACCACATTTTCAAGTAAATTATTTTTATATTATTGTGCTAGTGATAATATAATCATTTTCGAGAAGAATACACTTCAATAATTACTGATAAACTACTGTAACATTTTCTGTAGGATACAATAGTAAAACTAAGAAAAGCAAAAGCACTGTCATATTTTGTTATTGATGAAGCTCATTGTTTAAGTCAGTGGGGTCATGATTTTAGACCCAGTTACAGACAATTAGGTGCATTTAAAAAATTATGTCCCCAAATTCCTATAATTGCTTTAACAGCTACTGCTGCAAAGGAGGTAAAATTTTTAAAATTTTTAGTACTACAATATATTTAAAATTTATTTATTATAAAATACATTGTTACAGGTTAAAGATGATATACTTCAATCCTTAAATATGAAAAATCCTTTGATATTTTCAGTGCCTGTCTTTCGACCTAATCTTTATTATGATATAAGGTTTTTAGAAATATTAGACAAGCCATTTGAACATTTAAAGAATTTTATTTTAGAAGCGCTTGGCTCTCAAGATGAATCTACTCCAAAAGTAAATGGGCTTGATTTATTTTTTATGTACAGCTAGAGGATGTACACTTCTATTAAAAAGATAAAGCTTTTAGTTTATAAAATTTTATTAGTCCTTGTATTTCAGGTGAAGAAAAATTGTGGTATCATTTATTGTAGAAAGAAGGAAGCAACTGAAGTGATTGCACATAAATTGTCTAATTCTGGTGTACAGACTTTAGCATATCATGCTGGTATAGGCCAATATCATTGTAAACTACCATAGCACTAGTAGAATCAGTGAAATAATAAAATACATGATTTTGTTTGCAGGTTTGAAAAATCAAGAGCGTAATGAGGTTCAAAATAAATGGACATCAGGTGAAGTACCTGTTATTGCAGCTACATGCAGTTTTGGAATGGGTGTAGATAAAGGATCTGTTAGGTAAATTAATAAAGATTGTGTAATGTTATTTCCATAGATATTTTATATTATTTATTTAAGAACAAACTTTTGAATTTTATACAGATTTGTGGTACATTGGACAGTCCCTCAAAATATAGCAGCATACTACCAAGAATCTGGTAGAGCAGGTAGAGATGGTAAACCGGCTTTTTGTAGAATTTATTTTAGTAATGAAGAATACGGGCCTATCGCGTTTCTTATTAAAGAAGAAATTACGCAGAAAAATTCGGAACTCGTAAAATTAAAATGGAAAAATTTTGAAAAAACAGTGTCATATTGTCTTGAAGCAAAGTAAGGATTGTAACTTGTTGATATTTTTATTGTAAATGTATATTTAATACATTATTCTTTAATGTATATTTAAACAGATGTAGGCATGCAGTATTTTCTAAATACTTTGGTGATAGTCCACCACCGTGTAAAAATAGATGCGACGTTTGTGAGAACAAAGATGCTGTTCAATCAAGGATATCACAATTTGAAATGTCTCAAACTAGATCACATAGACATGGTGGTAATTTCAAATCACATAAATCTAGTAGTGGTTTAAGTGATGTGGCATTGCCAAAGTATGATAATGAGTAAGTAATATTTAATACACAAGTACAGTAGGATTTCATTTATCCGAATAGGTTGTGGAACAACTAAGTTCAGATAAATGAAGTTCTACTGTAATGCAAATTTGTATAATCTTGATTAGAGTGTAATTACTTACATATATAAATAGCGAAGATGAGTGCACAGAAAATCCAGTTTCAAGAGAAAGACTTTTAGCGCAAAGCAAACGAGAATCCAGAGACCTAATCGAAAAACAGTTTGCACTTCGGAGAAATAATAGTAAAAATGATGAGGTATGAATGTGAAAACTAGATTTATCAGTCTCTTTCACAATTTCTTTTTGTCACCATATTATTTCAGATAAGAAAACAAAATCTTGAAGATGCAAAAGAATCTCCCGTATGCGCAGCTGCAAGTACTGATATAAAAATAAAGGGTTTGACTGTCCAAGTGCGGGAACACTTTTATATTCAATTAAAGTTAGCATTAGCAGATAACTATGAAAAAATGTTTTCGGAAACAAAAGAGCAACTTCAAGAGAAAGATATACATAACATAGCATTTGAGCTTGAATATAAAGCATTATGTAATTCCAAAGTTGCAAATAAGTATAAGTTTGATATGTCTAAATTGGTACGTAATTTATCTTTAATAACCTATATAAGATATAGCATTTTTAATTGAGATTTTACTTTGTTGATGAATAAAGATATCTTCTGTGCGGAAGTGTATTAACACTAATACAGTTCACGAATGTTTACGTGATTATAATACAAAAAGTAAACAGAATATAGAATCAGGATGTTTGAATGATGATACTGCTTGGAAAAGCAAACAAGATGAAATAGGTGACAGGCTAGATACACGAAATGAAAGTGTGTTAAATAAATTTTGTAATAAAAACATTCGCGTTCCTTCCCAAGAATCAAGTGCCATAAGCAAAAATATGTTATTTCCTACATTTAAGACTGCTTTAGAATTTAGGAATGACGAGAAAGTAACAAAAGTCTCATCTAACAGTAATAACAAATATTTATTTCATGCAAGCAGTTTAAACAATGACAATAAAGATAGTGCAACAGGAACGGGATTTAAAGTCAATAAACGTACTATTGACTTTAGTGATAGTGTAGATGAAAAAGATAATACCGTAAAAAATGTCAAATCTTTCGAATTAACTGGTTTCACATGCGCTCGAAAACTCCACGAAGAAAATAAAATGATATATAAATGTCTTGACAAGAAATCACGAAAATCATCGCAGGAAGTTGTGAAACCGGATATAAAAATTAAAAAAACACCTCGTGCAACTAAAACAGTATACGAGCAGATTTTGAAATCTGCGAAATCGGAAACTGGCGTTGCAATTAAAGAAATTATTTCTTCAACTTGCAATGAATCAATTTCAATGAATGATACAAATGATGATAGTACAAATACAATTAAAAATTCAACACAATCGAAAAATGAAAGTAAAAGACGGCGTGCAGACTCATCTGGAAATTATGTAGATACTGAATCAAATAAAAGAGTGAAGGTCGATGAAGAGAAATTTCCTGAAGGAAATAATGAAGAAATTACTGATCACAGTTATAAAGATAGTATAAATGAAATTGTCAATCGAACAAAAGATAAAATTATAGATATTAAAAATGAAAAATTGTCGTCAAATGTAAAAAATAAGAGTAAAGAAATAATACCAAAAGATGAGAGTACGGGAATTGAACATTCAGAGTTAAAAAAATTTTCAGAAGAGACACGTCATAAAACAAGTCGTCCTAAACAACACTCAGGTGAAAAGAATAAGAAGATCATGGTGCCTGCTGATAAAGCCACGCAATTTAAGACTGCAGAAATTTTAAAATCGTATTTAATGAAGTACTATCCATCCAAACATATACCTGATAGAACAACATTTTCCAAAACTTGTAGAGAAATGCACCATACTATACTAGGTCAAAAAATATTCGGTAAAGTATATCTTAATAAAATTGCACCTATCATGTAATTGAAACAATGTACAATAACAATTGTTTTCAGACAAAGAGGGAATACAGAAATTCGTTAAGAAACATATGACAGAATTAATATCTATGGAAAATGTTTAGCAAAATCAATGGCCCTTGATAGCAATTAAAATATATTTGTATATATGTCTACATAAATATGGAATCATAAATTCTTGTAATTATCTACTTTATTTATTTTGTATACGACATAATATTATCTGTATATAAAAGACCGCTACTAGTTAGTTATATTTAAACCCCAAATAGCTTCAGTGTGAAATTTAAATTCCTTAAATTTTTGTATTTATCGATTTTTTAATTATATTTTGTAAGCTTAATAATGTATTTATAGACACATGTCTATTAAAACTATAGTTTATCCCATTATTATAAAAAGAAAATATTTCTATGTGTGATATTAATTTCATTGTCTTCTTTATTTTGTTTTTCATAATAGAAACGTAGGGTTAAGTGTTAGGTGTTTCCCAAATTCCAGAAGATGAAGTACCAAGATAATAAATTTGTATTACAAACATTATTTATTGAGCAATTTTTGTAAACACTCACATCACTAACATTTCACTGGCAAGAATTACAGTATTTGTTACAGTGAAAAAGATAGCAGTCATTACATATGTGCACATATGTGATATTAAATAGTTTTATTCTTATGAACTATATTGAACATCCAACTGAAGGAAACAGAAATAATGATGTGTACTAATACATTAAACAATGTTTTCCCATCCTATTATAGTTAAATATTAAATGAATATGACTCCTAGGAATATGTTTATTTTCATACTATAAGAATACTGTTTCCTTAGTTGATACACTAGCTCTACAGGTGAGGCAAGATTGATATTTAAGAAGGGTTTATATTTATTGACCTACTTAAAAATGAAATTGATACAAGAACCTGTTATTTTTAATATAATGATTTGACATGTTATATCTTTTATAAAAATTCCCCCTTGTTGCGTTTTTTTTTTGCAATTTTTACATGCAATATATAATATGCATTTTTTATGCTCATTATTAATATACAATAGGGGTTATGGAAATTGCAAAACTTTTTAAAAATAATTTGTGGAATTTGTGGCCGCATTGCAAACTTGATGGCTGTATTCATGTGAGAATACAAACATTAATATTTTTAAGGTCATGCAATTTTTATGGTCACTACTATACCCAATTTGGACAGTGTAAATACTAAATCTACTGCTGATTCGTAACTTTTGTCTATGTACAATATTTACAAGTGATTCTTCGAATAAAATAGTACATTTTATTAAATTGCCGTGTAAAGATTTGCAAAGCATATTTGCATGCATGAAGGTAATTACAAAATAGTTTCTGGATGCACAAGTACATTAAAAAATATGATTTTAGTTTTCACTATTATTCGTACTTGTTATATCATTAATTTTAACGAAGAAAATCGCTTGTGTCTTTTATCTTTTGCAAAGTAATGTAATTACTATTTTGGAATTATACAATTTTCAGAATGCAAACTTTTATATTATATGTATTCTAATCATTTTTTAAAAGTTATTTCAAAAATAAACTAATTGTAAATTTCATACTTATTCGAGGTAACAGTACACTCGAATAATTTTTTCATATTATTAATTATTAATAGAATGAATAATTGTTTAATTAAAAATTGAAAAGTAAATTCGCGTTGAATCTCGCGTCTATTGATAAAAACTGTTGACGAAATACATGAAATAATGTACCATGAGAAATTTCGAAATTTTTCTTATAAATAATACTTTCGAGGACATATATGATAACTTATGACTAAAGTGCAATATATTTTAAACGAGCGAATTAAATACATAGTTACAATTAAAATTGTTTTTTTTTCTGTTTTGGCTACTTGAATTATATAAATATATATTTTCATTTCATGTGATGTATAAAAATGCGTTAAAATTATTGAAATGTAGATAATATTTTTCCAACATAATTTATGTATCTATGTATTTTTATTCAATTTTAAATCTTATTATAGTATGGAAGTAGTTGACAGTGTATTACAATTACAAATGGTGCCATTCCAAATTATTTAAGTTAAATTCCAAATTAATAAGTTTTGGAAAGTAATTCATGATTTACTTTTGAACCTTTAAACTAGCATTTTTCTTAAACGTTTTAGTTCAATCGTGGCTCCGTAAAAATCACTTAATCACTACGACCAGTCTATAATGGTATCAGTCTTATTATATTATATCGTCTGTATAATATTATGATACACACTCGTGTCCCTATTTTATTTCTTCCAATAAGTGCATTTGTGTTTCAACGAACTTTGAATTATAATTACCATCAATGACAAAGTGTGGTAGTTTTTACGATTTTCATACAACCAAGCAGGCAAGAAATCCTTTTAAAACAAAAATTATTACATGTACGAAACTAGATCTATTCGTTTTTTTTTTTTTTTTTTTTTTTATTGACGGAAAAAATGATGATAATCGCAGTATGATAAGAAAATATAAAAAGATATCACTACTCACCGTGATTGCTGACATTTATGTTATAATTGTATTCAAACTACGTTTAATGATTGTTCGATTGAAATGAATTATGAAACGGATGCTTTCAGCACATTCTTCGTCGCGTTACCAAAATTTAATTCTAACACAGTTTCAATTCTCTAAAACTACTGGAAGATATCAAAATGTTGATATGCATAAACCTAAGCTCTTGACAGAAGTAAAGGCACTTCTCCTCTGCTCATCGAAAGGCACTTTGATCGTACGTTCGAAACCATTACGGTTCCTAAAACTCGGAAGTTATTCGGTGAGTTTCGTTGATTACGAGCATAAAATTATTTCACACAGGAAATAGCCTCTTCCTAGAGTCCATGTATTATCAATCACACGATGTCTTCCTTTAAATTTGATAACTCCGTTGACATGTCAGATATTGCGTTCGAAGACTTCGATTTAAGTAACGATTTATAGTAAGTGTCCGATTCGTTGGTTTGACACGAACGTCGCCTGTTGTTAAGAAATTGTAGAGTTTGGTTCTTAATTTCCGTCTCTCGCCATTGTCGAGATACCGTTGACTCTTTCGACTGCAGAAGGATTTTGTGAGCGCTAATAATTGTAAATATGATACCGACGATCATTAAACCGTAGATAAATACGTCTTGCAAGACTGGTAGCACGTTCAAATAGAGCCAAAAACGATCATTCATCGCAGATGGCAACTCGTACATTCCCTGAAAACAGAATTTCATTAATTATATATTTTTTTTAAGTAAACATTTCATATATATATCCGATTACTCAAAAGTAGTACAATTATACCAGCACGGTTGATAGGTCGATACCTCTGTTTAATTTTCACGTGGCTGAGTATATTAATAGTGGTAATAAATCTGAATACTTACGATTTCGAACCACAGGAGTGGTAAAACCAAGTTTGCGAATTTCTCCACTCTGGCCATATGACCAATATTTTGCAAAGCCATGTTGATTTGGAAACGGAATGCAAGATTCACTGGAAGACCCGACGTTGGCTGAACGTAGGCGTAGGATTCGTGAATATCTGCCCTCGGATTCAAACCCTCGACAGCTTCCAAGAGTGATGGATCGGTTTTATAAAAATGTGGATAGGATAAAGCGATCGGAAAGCCTGGAAAAAAGCATAAAGGCGAATTATTGCATCAACATACATAGCCTGGACTTGATATTTTTTTATTTCTATTGTTCATGTTTACTATCGATGCCAATGATTCCTGCGACGACATTTGCCAATAGTGTCGTCATGAATTAATTATTTATGATGCGTCGATGAAGTTATTGACGTGTCTTAATTGTCATCGATTTTCGAGTCTAATTTATGAATATTTTCTATTTACAGCAAATGATTTACTGACACGAGTTATGTTTCAATGCGAGTATTCTATGGAGAACATCAACAGGATCAATGTGTGAGTATCATACAAAATTGAATTATACTTGTAAATGTCTATCTACCGTAACTATACTTGGTAACAAATTTTTGTTTAAGGTGAGACTCATGCTGACCACTACTGACCACTGTCCACCATTGGTGTCTTCTACATTGCCACTAACTTCTGCTCCTTCAGCTGATATTTCTAACAACGCCTACTTCTCTGAGGTATTTAAAATCTTTTTTTCTCATTCTTGTTCGCGAACGAAAAAGAAATCTAACGAGCTATAATTAAGTATCGTTACGGTGCGTTATGAAATTATCAAAATTTTCAATTCGAGTATACCTTCTTTCTGATTTCAAATTTTATCAAACTCTAGATAACAAAAGTCATCGCGACATTATGGAAATTATGAGGAGACCGATTCTAAGTCAAAAATAAATTGTTAGTAGTTTTGGTATACTATGAAATGCCTGTACAGTCCTCTAACACTGATCATAGTATTTATTCAAAAATATTCGCAATTTATTTTTCTAATTATTAGTAACTAAATTTCGATGATAGAAATTGTTGAATTCGTTTCAACGATTTTAGTATTCTTACCATAATAACAATCCGTAACGTCGATCAAGCCAGGCTGCAGGCAATGCCCCTCGCGACAAAAACACTTGTTTTCCGGATTAACCGCGCCGTTATCCAACTCGTTTTCCACGAATTTGAAGAGGTAGGTCTGTAGTCCATTGATGACCTTTTCTCCAGTTCGTCTCTGTAATCATTATCGTTATCGTAACGTTTACTAGCCCTCGGCGGCTGTAGCTATGTTTATTTGTAGCTACAGTACGGATTTAGCAATCCCGAACGAACAATTGTAAGATTCGAGTATATTAGGTGTTATAGTTCGGATACACGACTTCGCATCCTTAGAGATGAAACTCGCTAACTCGCGTTTACTAATGTTCCTATTAAACTGATTACGAGTCTCGCGCTAGTTCATCATTAATTCACTCATAGTTGTCCGAAATATTCCAAACTGTTTGAATTCTTCCAAAGTAGGTAATTTAAAATGTCAGATTTAAAACAACGTGAAATGAAAATAATATCAAAGTTCATAGGTGCTTCGTCAATATCGCTATCGTACAAATATTGAAAAATATTTGTCGAATTATGCAAATTAATAAAAAAAAAGGCTATAAGAATATACAAACTATTTGCTAAATAATTGAACATTTTCATTCAATCTGGCAAATTCATTTATATTATTAACAATGAATTTTCTGATATTTAGCTTTTAATGAAATTCGAAGATCGAGTTATCAGAGTCTTACAATTGTTCGAGATTAAAAGAAATTTTCTTTTATGCTTCTCGATAAAAGTTGAATTGGAATGTCAACAAATATTTCAAACATTTCTTGCGCCCGAAGTCTAAGCTAGTATCAATTATTATCAAACTTCAATGTACCATGTGTGCACTACGACAGAGACTTTTCCTGAAGAAAAGAATAGTGTCGTTGGGCTCGATGTAACTTTGGAACTTGACTCCGTCAGTTGAACCATTTACGTTTGCGCACTTTCCTTTCCACTGTGGCAGATTCGTGTCTCCGTTGTACTTTTCGATTAGCCCCGTAAGACGGACATCGTTTTCTCCGGTGTAAACCGTCTCGTAATCACCATCAAAATCGTACATCTGCGCGCACAAAGGTACAATCGAACTTGAAATCGTTATTTACAGGAAAAATTTGCGTTAATTCAATATGGTTTATATAAAGGGTCATCCGAAAGGGGCTTTAAAATTTCGTATTCTAATAATAATATACTTGTTAGCTTAGTCGTGGTGGATATCTATTAACGACAGTATTTTTAATATTTAATCAATTATATTTAACCAAAATTAAGTGATTTCAAAACCACTTCTAATTCCTATTCATTGGGCATTTTTACATTGATTTATGTTTCGAAAATAAAGATGTAGCCAATTATTTGCAAATAGAGACTCACTCTATCGATGAGACCCAACTTGTCGAACTTGATCCAACTTGGCATCATCTTATTGCCCAAAGTGACAAGGGAGGATTCGTAGCCGAACATAAATTCTCGCGCGGTCATTTTAACTAAAGGATGCGTGTCCGTGTGGAGAATCAGCATGTTCAAACCGAATCTAGTAAAATACGTTGCATCCCTCATTACATTCGTGATACTCTGTAACAGAAAAGAAAGACACTTCGTTCAGACACTTTTGAAACGAGGAACCTTTTCTCACAAATTAATTGAGCCAGTACATGCGCGTACTAAGACACTATCAATAACATTGTACAGAAATCGGTAATTGAGAGCCGCGTATGTACTAACACTTAATTAGCAATTATTCGTTATCGCGAAACATTGAAGGGGTTGGTTGGTACGCGCGACCATTATTCATTTCCGTATCTCGGCGTTAGGCGAGTTTATTATTCCATTCCGTTCCGTACGGTGTCGAATTAAAAGAAATTATCGTATCCCTAATAAACGTAAACAGAACGGTTCTTGAACTTCCGTTGTTCTTATTGTCAGTGAAAGTTCATTGACGCTGTCGCAATTGCCACGCATTTACCAAGTCATGTAAGATGAGAGTCTCGTACGCTTCAAATCAACATTCCTGTCGACTCTATATACATATGCATGCGTAACGTGTTACATACACGTGTTACATAAGGATGCACTTCACAAATTATGCCTGGTTGTACCTGAACCGCTGCGAACGAGCATCGGAGTGACTCGAGAAATGCATACGTTCGTATACGTGTTTCTTCACCATTGAAGAAATGACTCTTTCAATGAAACGTAACGGGTATTGAAATGTTTTCAAGCGTTTTCAAGTTCGCGAACCGTTGAGTGAGCGTACTCGAACCAGCTTATAACGAGCATCAGGGGAATTGATTTAATTTCTCCCTTTTAATGGTTGCTCGTTACACCAGTAGACGAGTCAAGGGTCTATTATTTTATCCACGGAAGAAAAACAGATTTTTTTAAAGAATATTTACTTTACATAACAAATAATCGTGGATTTTTAACGTTTTTATACATGATAACGGTAAGCATGTTGAACTAATTTGTTTATTCTGAAGTAGAATTATAATTATTCATCGATATTTAACCGTATTATTAAATGATCAAAATTTAAGAAAAGTGTCGAATATCGAATTTGGTCATGACATTTTAGGACAGTATTCTTAAAATTTTGTAATAAAGGAAAGGATCGAATTTTGAAACAGTAAGGGTAGATAAGATTCATTTAAAAATGAATCTTACCTAGAAAATGCTACCAATTTCCCATTGGCTTCCTAATTTTCAAATACTAGGTGTATTTCTCTTCATATAATTGCACGAATTACAATACACTTGTAGCTATGCCATCCTACAGTTTCTAATTACAAATAAATTGGTCTTGTTATTAAGTATACAGTTGAAAGATGTAGCGAAATAAATTCAGTTTAATATTAGTTTTCTATAAAACGCTGCACTGGTTGGATTGATTTATTACTCGGCTAACTGCCAAGAACAAGGACTTGCTTTACATTCTACTCGCTCACTCTCCCTCTCGCTTTCTTTCTCCTTTTCCTTTCTTTCCTTTTCTTTTCTCTCGTTCCAGACAGTCCTTGAACGAACGATTTTCTAACAGGTGAATAAATCTCACAGGACCTATAGCTTAATTTGCTCGTTCAATGGATCGAAGTTGCATTTTTATATCAGAGGGCCGTTTAAAAATATTTCTTTATTCGACACTCACTTCAAGTGTTGTGACAATTTTGCAACGTATACGAGAAGGCTGCTAACGAATTCTACGAATGGCTGGGATATTTGAAAGATTGAGAAACTCTACGACACGACGTCTGTACACTTGTATTTGGCCCGAAGGTGACCATTTTAAGCACCTGGTGTGAAGGTGAACAACTGCACATTACTGCAACGCAAAAATGGCTATAACTGGACTGCCGATTTTATGCAATTATGCCAAGTGGAAGTATGGGGATATCTGCGAGACGTAGAAAATAACAAGAATAGTATGCAGATTATTTCGTTTAGAAGATAGGGTGTGCTTTCTTGTTTCTGTTTCTGTGAAAATATTCATTTGTACAAATATCCACAGCTATAACTGTTGAACAGTGTCAAATGAAGCATTTATTACAACACTATGCCGCATTTATTTCATTATTGCTACTTTTTGAATCGAAGAGGAAATATTCCTTATGTCGGAGTCATCCATTTTGTTTCTGCTTCTATGATTTTTCACGTGCAAATGGCATTGAAAAATTGTTTCTTTGGCTTCACAGAATATATTTTTATTTGTGAAAATCGCCTGGTTTTTGTTATTCTATTTTAATAATTGCAAAAACAGGAGTCAATTGATCAGATTCTAATTTCGTATTCTTCTTCTTCACGTGCACGGTTAGATCGCGAGGTTCTTCGATTAAAAGGAGTAAGATCGTACGTAGAAAGAGATGAAGCAAAGTTGGTCTAGATTATTATTCTGCGATTTAATTGGTTGCATGCGTGTAACGACGGAAATCGACGATTATGCGAATGAAAAAAGATGTTCGCATGACATCCTGTCTGAGTCTATCGGGCAGTTGGGAATATTTGTGTCCTCTGAACACGTGTACATTCGGTATGTTTGCAACCAGTGATTGGTTGTTTAATTATTTTTTTTTTTTTTTTTTTTTGCAAACCCGTCGACCAATAGCTCACGAGGTCGTGTTGATATCAGTCATTTTTGCTGTAATTGAGCGTGGAAATTGAGCAACAATTATTAACCCTGATCATATGGCGTTCGATGATCGTATATGCATCAAAGTTTCCAATTGAACATTGAATTTTCTCCTTCACGGTCGTCATTTCCTAATCGCACGAGCGCGGTGCGGCATTGCAATAAAGTGCCACTTTTCGCTAGGCCATCATAGTTATGAAACGCAAGAATTTCGTCGAGACGGGTCATTAAGTCGTTCGGCAGTTATGGAACCTTTCTATCGTATCTTTCTACCATCAGAATTGTGAAATAATTTAGACTAAAATAAATCTCAACAGAGGCTTTATTATTGAAAAACTTGTACGTTTTATTAAATTGTTGGTTCTCTTAATGAAATATAAAATATACAAAAAATAACATAAACAGGATTAAATAAATGTTAAAAAGATATATAGAGATACTCGATTTTATTTTTCTATATGTTTTCTATATTTTCTTTCTGGTTTCTAGTATCTATAATATATGCATTATTTGATATTGTATATATATATATTTTTGATATTTTATTCATGTAATCATACCAATTATATTTAGAATAGTCGAAAAGATCAACAATTAGTCAAAACATTGAATTTTCTTAATAATAAATACTCTCCCTAGAAGTGAACACATTTTGTGATTAATCAGTAATCAAACACCTGTATACAATTATTTCAAGCTACAAAAAAGAAGAAGACATTTTGAAATAATTCGGAAGACATGAAGTAGTTCATGGAGTAGTTGTAACAAACTAGTTACAATAAATATAATGGGATTAAAAGCAAACATTAAGTTCGAAGGTATCACGTAGTGACAAGAACTAGATGTTAGTTCTTTTTTTGTCACGAAACGTTGATTCGTCGCAACTCGCGCTATGCTTTCTCAGTGCACGCCGTGATACATTCCTTAAGAATGTCTTCGTGCGTTGAATGGAGATTTATTGTACGCACATAGAAAATAATATTTTTGGATCTCCAAAAGTGTATTAAAACTCCAATTAAGGTATGATTAGTGCACGACATACTCGTGTGCCAATCTCGTGCCAATCTTGCCTTAATATCGATATTATTGCCAATGTTTACTTTCAATTATAGTTGTCAACTTGACATTACAGTATTTAAATTAATTGCAAAATTAAACTCACGCGTATCTTTTCCGGTACATACATGATGCGCTTGCTAGGAATGTGTTCGTACGTCGAATGGAAATTGATTGTACACGTTTTAAAAATAACAATTTTTGGCCCGTATAGAGCGAGTAAAATTTCTAACTTATGTAAAAATCTTTTACGTAATAACTAGCTCGTGACATTTATTAATCTGGCGAGCCTATTATATCATTGGAAAATTAAATTATCACTACTCATTTTCAGATATAATGGCCGACCTGATTACAGTATTTAAATTAATTGCAAAATTAAAATCGCACGTATTTTTCCTGGTGCATGATACATTCCCTAAGAATGCCATCGTGCGTCGAATGGAGATTTATTGTACAAGCTTAGAAAATAGTATTTTTTTCAAATGTAGCGTGACTCTGCGAGTTTCCACAATATTTTCCAGGGAAACAGAGATGTGTCACGCAGTTTAGTGTCGTCGTCAACTCTCTTCCACGAGTCGAGGAAATTCTAGAAACGAACAAGGCCGGCACGAGTCCTTCTTGAATGAACATAAAACGCGTAATTTATCGCGACAATGTATTCCTGCTAAATAATTATATACTGTCGTTCTCGACTAATAGTATTAGTCGTACACGTTTATTACAATTGAATAATTGATCGCTACAGGGAATCAATTCTCTTCGAGTAAAAGCAAAGTTTATCAAATATACACCTAATAAACTCATGTTATGTCACTTCGCAACATTACGTTATTTGTATCATTGCTTTGCACGTTGTTTTACAATTTTGTCATTTGCAAGGTAAACGAGATGTTGAAATAATTCTTCTAAAAATGATTTTTCAATACATTTTAGACCATCGACGTTTTCTGAAACGAAGCTGGCCTCCTTTCTCTAAATGGGATTAGCAATGTATTTAATTATTCGTCTACTTTCGTTTTTATGCATTCGAAAATGATTATCGAAATCGACGATTTCACTATGGCGAACACTTCTTGTTACGTCAGTCTTTAATCTTATGTAAAGAATAGTTGCGGTTCGGATTATCTTTTCGGTTTTACTTGTTCAGGTATATAATTCAACGTTCTATTTCCGATGGACCACGCTATGCAGCTTTCTGTTTAATGAAACTGTTAGTTAATCGGTTGCATCAAGTGTGAAAGGCGCGCAACACGTTTCCGTGTATGTAGCGACCACCGGTGAAAAAACCGCACGTGAACAACTTCTGCTTTCAGGAGTGATTGAAGATTGCAAAAGCAATGATCGCACTGAGCTCGTGATGGCAGAACGCGATTCTTATCATGTTCCTTAAAATTGTACTTGCAACGACAAAAATAGTAACAAAAATAAAACTCACTTTTTTAACGTAGGAAAAAAGAGTCGATGCCTTTTAAGCGCCCATAACGATTACGCTGACTTTGTTAATTAACAATAAAACCATCTATATTTATTCCAGGAAATTCTAAAATAATCAGGAGATGGAATACGTCGCAGTATCATGAATATTTAATTGCAGCGGTAATAGGCAACGTAATACAAGACTTTATAATGATCGGTAAACAACATCTTTCCGCGAACATGACAATTCCTCTTATAAGTTCTGTTTTGTTTTTGTCATCGTTACAATTGGATCATAATCTCACATTTCCGATTCTTTTTTTGCGACTTTGTCGGGATGACCTGTAACAAGCTTCGTAATCAAACCTTGAGTTCTTCCATTAATATCAGATTTAATTCCTACGACGATGATACGATCAAAGCCGATCAGTAAAGTCATTTCCTCGCGTAACAAATATAAAAAAAGCATGCGTGAAAAAAGCAGCATTGTGCAAAGCATTTCTTGGCGCGATTGCTTGGAAGATAGCTCCTAAGATTGTCTTCCGAGGGACAGAAACCGTCCAAATCGCGGTATACAGTGTTGCCTGCATTTTCAATGAAGGCGTCAGCAGTCTACTGCGGATCATGGACGTGATAAGTATAATTATTGGATCCAATGTTGTTGACATTGCTCGAGACATCGACGAGGCACGTATCTCCATCGCGGAAGTCTGAACGCAAACTGATACAAAAGAGGCTAGAATAGACAAAAGACGGAAGATTTTGGTCTGCACTTTGGATGCTAAGGGGTATTACGAATCGGAATAGTTGATTACAATTTCATTTCCGTAAACTTTAGTCGCGTTTTAATGGAAACCACATTTTTCATAATGGTTCTCACGGTAGTTCATACAGTTTCGATTAAATCTTGCTCGAATTTTGTAGAAATATTTCGGATTATTGGAACAATGTCGGTAATTTTTATCGATTTAATCGGTTTTCGAAAAAGAAAATAAATACAGTTCGTATTTTGCAATTAATTAAATAATTAAATAATCCAAATAATGCAATAATTAAATAATCCAAGCAACCGCATATTATCGGCCACTGGCACACATCGGTGTGTTAATACCAAACACATCTACTACTTAAAAAAATTTCTTGCCATGCATTTAGAAATTATTAGAAAAAAGAACCATGCCCACTCAGGCATCTGAAATTTATATTTCTTCACGTATAATGATATATGCCAAACTTTGTGCACTCGAAGAACGGAAAGGTTCCGTTGAGAAAGCTACTTTACCTGTTTTTTTGCTATCCGAAACATGGGCACATTCAAGTTGCGAAAGATTTGATAGAAATGCGATTTAAATAATTTGATTGGGTTGCGCAGCCGTCATAATTGAGCTAAAGAGCAGCAGGTTGTCGGCTACTGTGTCACGGATCGATGTATCGATACGAAGCACTAGTTTGTTTAGAAAAATTCCTCGCAAAATTTCGTATTTAGAAAATGTTACAAGAACGGGTCGCGGACAGATACTTTTGCTTGCTACTGTATTCTAGGCAGAAAGAAAGGTCAGTTCTGGAACGAATCGCGGGATATGTGTTGGGTCAGACGTTTTCGTAAGCCTACACAGCATTGGCCACATTCTGCTTACTCGCGGTACCACATTCCCTTTAAACGCGTTCACCGCGGTACGCGGGTCACATGTGCCCCGAATAGTATTTCGTTCCGTGCGAGTCGTACTTCGTTAAAAAATGTCACTCTACCATCGTTGTATTCCGAGAAAATATCTCTGCCAGTTTTCTGATAGTTCCGTGGATGCCTGGGAATAGAGCTGGGATAGCGTAACTGAAAAGTTTACGTTTTTATACGCTTTGTATCATCAAATGTCAGAGATATGATAATGTAATAAAGCTTTATTCGGACAATAGATGACGCGATGGAATAGTTAAATTTTTATTTATTCACCTTGAAGTATGAAGATGCTAGAATCCAAATTTTAATTTCTAAGAAAAGGTTTGTTTTTTATTTGAAGATTTTAGCAATATCGATGTGTTTTTATTAACGTAGCTCATTTAAACACAAGAAAAAGACGAATTCAATCGCATGGAGCTAGGAGAAAAGGAAGTATAATATCGATGCGAACGTGCCCTTACTTTATTAAATAAAATATTCAAAATTCTTTTTCCTTACGGTGCCGCGCAAAAACATGCAAGAAGACAGTCACTTCGGATTACTTCAGAGCTTATTGAAAATGCGAAACAATAACTCGAATTCGTTACATTTGAAAATTTATGAAAATTATCGATAACCATTTTTGTATATTTCGTTAAATAAAATAGGTACTCATTTCCTCAGAAACACACATAATTTTATACAGTTCCTTTCCCCCGATACAAACAAGTATCATACGTGAACGAATTCGTTTCTATATCAGCCACATCGCTACGTCGATGAGAATATATCGTCCTCTTAAAAAAAATGTCAATAAACTCGAAACACATCTTTTTTTTTAGGCCAAAAGGCACATTCATTTGATCATTCAGAAGACGGTCAGGTTGTGCTCGAAAACGTTAAATTTACTGTTTAACTACGTGATTCGTTCCAAGACGATTCAAATTCACGGCTTGAATAATCAATGAAGATCAGTGTTACTCATTTACATAATGATGGGACGTTCGGTTACAACTAAATGCGTAATATCTTCCTTAACACCGAAAAGCGTAAAAGATAAGAGAGACAAGCGAACGTACGATTACACGTTCCGTTCATTCATCGTAAAACTCGTTTAATATGTGTTACATCATTTCGGGCATACGAAAGTTCCATGTTCATTTCACTCGTGAAATGATCGCGCCTCGTGTAGGTTCTCTCGCGATGATGCTAGAACGGAAGTATGGTCGCGTTGTTTCTCGAGGAATCAACGTTGATAAATTATTGACCCAGTCGTTCAACGCTGGGAAACCAAGATATCGATAGGCCATTCAGTATTGTTCGAGTCTCGTCGTGTGCAATTCTATAAGAACAAGCTGGCCGTGATCGTACTTTGTTCATTAATCTCGTTTCTCGAATTTCATAATTCTTCGGTGCCCCATTTGCAGGATTTATCTTTAAACTTGATAAATGCATTGTTACGTTGAATTACACGAATTTTAATTAGAAATTTTACACGAGCTTTTATTGTCATTTTAGTATGATGTTATTTATTTGTTATTTTAGTATGAGTTATAGTCTTTTCTGTGTCGAGTAAATCAAGGGCAAATCGTCAGGTTTCGTAAATTATGGACAGCAGAATTTGAACGTGCTAGAGGAGAAAACAGTTTGGATAAATTATGTCGAATAAGAATCGTTCAAAGAACGTTGATAGGGCTATAGTTGTGGACGATACAGATAAATAAGAACTAAGATATCGGTAATGGCTTTATCGTGTCTATAGGGAATTCAGTTTAGGTCGTAGTCGTGGGAGAAAACACTAAGATGCCATGAAATATAGCGAGTTTCAATCTTCTAACCGTGATGAAATTCGCAGGTAAAATGTCTTGTGCTTAACATTAAGCAGTCTATATACATGTTACAGAGGAATTAATAAATTCAAAGAAGGCACATATAAATAAAAGATTTTCCAAAAGAGATTTTTGTTCAATAATAAAATACGCCTGCCAGCCTAGTTAGTTACATTAATTATAACCGCATGGACTTTCATTCTAAATAAAAATGTCGAGTTTATCCCATACTATTTGCGTTTGATTAAAAAACAAATTCTAAAGCCCTTGTTCGAAAATCTTTTACATGTATACCATTAAAGGATTCATTAGCGAAAAAAGTATCGTTATAGAAACAAGCTGTTTTACTTACCAATAACGCGATGTTTGGTAATATCATTATGTCTTCTTCGGTTCCGTTGCTCATTTCTGGAACATAGACCAACGGATGCAGATCGAGCGCCGTTACAGTGCCGTTGCTGTTGAACTTAACATCCCCGTGTTCTAAACATTCCCTAAAATTAACGAAACACACTTATCAACTTTCCTATGCAACGCGTTATACTTAATCAACTCACATAATTCATTTAGCGTAGCGAGCTCTGACTTAACACAAGGAAGCATGGAGAATATTTACAAAAAGAAACAAGAAAATAAAAGACAATTGCTTTCAGCAATATCGATGAATATTACATGGAACTCGATGGATACTAATGAATAATTAAAATTGTTCTAAATAAATTAATGTATGATTAATAACTGTACAAAATCGGGCACGTGGTTATGAGCAACGTAACGTTTAGAATTCACTCACCTGTAAACGTAAGGGCCGAGTTCTTGAAACCTGAGTTTACTCTCTTTGCCGGAAAGGTACTCCTCGTGATTAGTCACGTTGAAAAGGTGAACCTTCAGGTAGAGCTTGACGTCAGGTTTCCGCCATATTTCGAAAATCTCGCCCCCCTCGCTAAAAATGACTTTTAGCCTGAAGAGCAGGTCGTACGGTTGAAACACGAACAGGATGCATCCGGTGGCGAGACTGAGCGAACCCAAAGTCATCAATATGAAAATACCTGCGCCGAAAGAGGAACATAATTGAAACGCTGCAACGTGATAATGAACGGCCGACTATAAAACTGCTTATTATACTGCGTCATTTGACGAATGTCTACCGAGCGAACAGAAGTTTAAATCACGGTTGGTAAATGTTTGAAAAATGAAATTCTTGACTGGTGAATAAGAAATTTTATCGACCAGTTCACACAGTGTTTCGTAACTTGCAAACCGCATTTAGAGGTTGCTCGTTTCATTAACAAGGCACGGCGTTGTAAATGTTTCTTGCCAACTGTTAATTCTAATCGAATCACTATGAAAAAGAAGTGCAAATCTTTTAAGATGTTAATGTGTCGTCGTTGACCGAAGTATTATCGCCCTAGTTAGAGGATTTTTGGAGAAAGTTGTTTTTACTAGCACTAAAGTATATCATGTATCGTTTGATTTTTAAATTATGGAGTTGAGGTCTAAATCGAGGTCATCGTCTTCTCTGTTGTTACTTTATATTTCTAGGATTTCATTTACTTCATTTTTCTAATTCTAAGTAGGTATTCCTAGAGGTTTCCTAGTAAATCAATACTACAGCAAACTTCTACAGACATTTTTTCAGATGTAAGATTATAATAACATAGTGTATGTAATTAATGTATACATTAATATATATGACTATTTGAAATGGTGTTTGCGGAAGTTTGCAGTAGTAAAGACTTCAGAAGTACCTCGATAGTGTAGTATCCGTGCCTCTGATATCCAACAATAAGGACTGTAATAATATTGTCATTTTTTTCAGCCACTGTACCCGCAGCTTGCCGAAATTATTCGCAGAATGCGGGACTTCCTACATCGTTCAGAATATTAACGTGTCGGGAATGATTCGCCAAATTTGCATGCGACATACTTGGAATACGCGTCAATTCCGGTTTGATTCAGAAATTCCACGTTTCTTTCATACGACTCGGCGCGTTGGCAACCGTTTGATGAATTTTAAAAGAACCGCGGCGAGACTCGATGGTATCGTCCTTCGTCATTGCCTGATTTTAATAACGCCTGATATTAAACGAGATATGTGCCCACGCGGTCGTACATCTTTTCTGAGTGGCACGCTTGTTTTGGTGCGATTCGTGGATACGTTGCCGGTTAATCGAGCAATTCGAAAGAGTCTCACGTAGATGCATCCTTGCCGAGCGTTATGCTAATCGTTTTTGTTTTATTTTCCTCCAGATTAAAATAACGCGCGTTGCACGTACGGCCTTGTTCTTCGTTTAAAATTTGTCGGACCTAACTTCACCCAATCCGGACGACGAAGTTCGTTTAATTTGTTTCCGAACTAATCGTGTTATTCAGCGATTACACGGAGAAACATTCATATTTGATAAACTCGCAATTAGAACATGGCTGCTTTTTTATGCCATTCCATGTAACTCTGTTAGAGGAAGGACAGGTCGCTGCGAAACACACGTCTGACGTAGCTTCAAACTTGTTCTGTAAACATCGAACTTCGCTCATACGCGAAGAATTTGCGTTTCCGCTGCCAGTGACATTGAAATTCGCGATGGGATGAATTTATCGCGACGACAAGTATTATATGACAGAGTTGTAGCGCGTTATTTATCGAGCCAAAGGAAAACGCTGATGAAAAGCCTTGGATCTTTCGCTGAGATTGAGAATCAAGGATTTTTCCGTCCCGATCTCCATAATTTTCTATTTTTGTTCTGTTTTACACGCGCACTGTGTTTCGATAGTATCGTCTTCTCTTTTGGTTTCTGTGTTGTTGGAAAATATGCTTCATTAGCCGAATCGAAGAATTTATTTTTAGATTCAAGTCTTGGAATATATTTCTAGCTTTTCATGGTTAACTAGTCGTCTTTTCTCGAGGACGTTGTTCATGTTTTTCTCGTACAGAAGACAATGAATTCTCTGAGAAATTATTTTAAATTGGAAGATATTGTTGCGCCGGGGGGTCGTACAGCGAGGAGAAACCATTATCGCAACACTATTTTATAAATGAACAGTACCTCTGAATATTTATTTATAACAGTAACTTTATAAATTTTATAATTCTCATCGTCGCAACATCTTCGCACTGTCGCGACGTTACAACTTCGGAATATTGTGCGGCATCTTCATGCCGTCGCAACGATATTAATCTCCGTGTGTCTGAGTCTCCGTTGCTAATTTTGTGACGATAGAAGTCTTCGATTTAGAATCCCGGCCTTTTTCGGCGATAAAACAATAATTTTCCAAAAATTCCACACAGAAAAAGAAAAGTAAGGATCGACTCGGTTGAATACAAGTTTAAGTTGACATATTTTGAAGTCTATAAGTTTTTCACTAAAGACGAGTGATGGAATCATTCCGTAAAGCGAAAATATTTGAATCTTCGCTGGTCGCGATCGATTCCTGCGTATTTTTCCGTCGAAGCTGTCCTACAAGGTGAATTTCATCCGAAGCGTGCTACGCGATTGTAGTCGCCTGCATAGTCTGCAACATTACGCACTCGCGCCGATTCATCGAGACACGATGATCGTATAACTGATTGCTTTGGTAACCGTTAAGTAATCTCATCGTAAATCACGACGAATACCGATGCGTCACGGAAATGCAACCCGCAAATATCGATTTGTTGATGATTTATTCAACAATTCGGAATGATATATGCGCGAAAACATCGTTAATTAATCGACTAGCACCGTGCATTATATTCGGACCAGTCGGTGAACCTGACCATCCGGTATATCGTATAATATTGCGCAGAATAATATTTAGGATTTTGTTTTCTCAATATAACGTGAATGAATTATATTCGGTTTATATAATTTATCGGATTAAAATCGTAGCGATCATGGAAACGGGTGGTTATTCTCGAAAATAATAATTCACTTCTCTTTTTTTTTTTTTTTTGAGAGAGAATATAAAAGTAAATTATTCGGAAGAAAACAAATTTCAATTCACGAACAGAAATGTAGAGTTAGCTCGAGTCAGTTCTCAAAAGTATAGTGTTAGAAAATATCGGGACAAAGAATTTTAAAGAAACTTTAAATGAAAGGAAAAACAATAAGAATATTGAAAGAAAATAATGACTCGTTGCATTGTAACCTTTTATCCTGAAGAAAGACGAGTCAATCGTTTTCGCAATAGTTCGCGACTGTCATTGTGCAAAACCGAGGAATACCTTCTGGAATTATTCGCACGAGTGCGTGAGCAACGTGGCTTGATTGTATTCGTTGCGAATTTTTCGCGACATTCAAGATTGATGGACGTTAAAGTTTAGTTAAACAGATAACCATCGAAGTCCTGAAGAAGGATTAAAGATTGACAAACTGTTGTTTGTACGTTTCGTTGAAGGAGTCACTTTGCTCTCGACTATTGCACGATTGCTGGCAGTCCGGCACGGTGTGGTAATAATTTTCCGACGTTAATCGGGACGCGACTGCAAATGCACTACCCAATAGAAAGTGCGTATTTGCCCTATGTCGTTATATTTTATATCCATGGAATCGCAGGTCTTTTATGAACGTTAACTCGCGAAATACCACCTTCCAACGACGGAAGAGGACGTTACAAACTTTCATCGAGTTTTATTGTCTTTCGCAATCGTCGATAGCAAGATTACAACTCCTTCCACAGATCAATCGAAGCCCGTATTTTTAAATGTTTCAGACTTTTGATTAGGAATGAAAAAGATCAATTATGTGAGCTGAAAGGATATGATAAATAATGAGATACCTTTTTAATGAGCAAACCTTCTTGCTATATTTGTGAAAATATAAATTTGCATAAACGCCCGCATTCTACTAACGAATGCAAAATATATTCTATTAATTAATACAATTTTATTAATATTTCCTTTTGTACAAGTACATATACTTGTCGATTAAATTTAACATATATTTATCATATCCGTTTAAATTATAAATGGATAAAATTCGCGGGTCAGTTATTAGACGTGTTCAATACGAAATTAAAGTCCCATGAACCGTGAGTCAACCTAAATAGTACTGGTCACTCTGGACCCAATCATCCCATGCTGGTTATTACAAAGCACTACGTAGAGATAGCACGTGTCCATTAAGCAGATTCATTGTAGCATCAGCCAGCCGACATCTGCACACGCAACCGCGTGCAATTTATCGTCAAGTTGTCAGGGGTTGTCGACTGGCCATTCGGCGTGGCTGCATTGCCATAATGTGCGATGCACACCGTTCCACCGCTACGGGCCATTGTTCGTTTCTTTCGGTGGTGTATGGATTTCTTTAATACCTGGGATCGGTTCATGAAAATTGCGCAACGTAAATAAATCCAACGACGGAACGGCACGTGCGCGACGGTTGCACAACCCCGGACACGACGTGGCCTTTTAAGGGATTATTATCGTACGCGCGAAAGAAAGAAAGACTTTCTTTAAAAATTTTTATTCCTCTTCCAGTACTGTGCAAAAGTCTTAGACCATTTACAGTACATTGCATCTTCTACATTTTCTCCGCTAAAGAAAGGGTACAAATGTTTGATTTACCTTATATATTTCATTTTACCGATATTATTGTAGTGTGTTCTCCGAAATTAGATAAAAGTAGTGTAAATTCAAAGGATACTTTAATATTTGATACTCCATTTATCTTTGTAATAGCGCCCAAGTCTTCTTGAACAATTTTCGTACAACTTTTTTAGTCGTTCCATTCGGAATACCTTATACAGTTTATCTAGACATTTGGACTCTCTTTTTTTTCGAGATCTGCTCAAATAATCTCAGACATGTACAATAATACATAAATAGGGACTTTCAGGTGGCCAACTCGTAACAAATTTCATGTGGCCATAACAATCAATGAAATCATTGAAAATAAACAACAAAGATTTCCTTTATTAGCGTAACATGTCTAGTAGTATCTATAAAAAGATTAACATGTGCACAATTACTTGTTATGTAAGATAAAAAGTCTTGGAAAGAATCTTTTTTTCTCTCGCGCGTACGATACTGACTCCTCGAGAAGACGAGGGCGACCATATGAGGAATGTCACT